TTTTCGATTCTATCGAAAGAGCATTTAAGCACAAGAAGGTTCCCGAAGAATACAAATCAGGAAATATTATTGAAATTAATTGGAGAAAAAGCTTCAAATGTTCTTGTTTATATAAAGGAGGAAGATCTGCAAAATTACGAAAAAGTGAAAACTCTTGTTCTGAAGGAATATCAACCTACTCCTCAAACCTGTTTAGAAAACTTCAGAAAAACTAAACGTTATTCCGTTCCGGCGAAACGCATATCCAGTTCGCTTCAAGACTAACAGCTACATGGGACTATTACTGCAAGTCAAGAGAAGTAAAGGATTTCGAAACACTCAAGGAGTTAATTATTTCCGATAAATTATTCCAAGCATTTAGATGAAGAAACAGCTGCACACGTCGCAATACGCCAAGGAAATAAATGGCTGAAGCCTCAAGAATTAGCTACAGAATGTGATATTTATTTCACGGCCAAAGGAAAATCTTTCGACGAAGTTCGAAATGGAATTAAGCGATCACCGAGATTCCTGGATACAACATGTGCACACGACAAATATATTCCACCACCCATGAGAAAAGAATATCCAAAACACGAAAGATTTCACGCGAGAAGAAAAGAATGTTATATTTGTGGAAATTATCAACACATCGCGAGAGATTGTCCAGACAAAAGAAGAAAGAACGAAACTGCAGTAAATAAGAAGGGAAAGGATGATTCCAAAACTCAAAAAAATTCAAACAGAACATCAAAAGAAGAAGCCATCGTAGCTAAAGTAGACTCATCCCATCTACGATCTGAATTCGCAGAACGCATCGTTCAACCACTGCAAAAAGTAGATATTTTTATTAACTCTGAGAAAATCGAAGCTATCGTAGACTCTGGAACGCAGATAACGATCGTACATTCATCGCTCATTCCAAATTTAGAGGAGAGAGAAGGAGGTAAAATATTGCTAACACCTGCTTTCGGACAACCAATTGAAGCAAAAGTTTGCCGTGTACCTATTTACCATAAAGATCATGGAAGCAATATATTTAATTTTTGTGGATACATTAATTGCAGTGACTGATAAGCTAAATGTGCCTTGCCTAATAACTCCAGAAATATACGAACTGTTGATTAATCCTGCGGCAGAAGAACCAAACGCAGAAAGAAATAATTACGGAAGCGAAAACTTACAAACTTTATTCGCCAATGCACAGTCAAACGACAGCGTCGATTCCCCCCCGCTAATGCTTATGGAGGAGAAAAAACGAAGAGGAGGAAGGGAAGAAGGCGAGTGTTTATGTAAACACAGACTTATCGTCTGCTGAACGCCTACGCGAAGAGCAAGTTAACTGTCCCTCGCTGAGAGAAGCATGGAAGCTAGCAATAGAAAAAAAAGGAAATTATTTATTTATTGATCATCTTTTACATCACCAAGAAAAAATATTAGGACAGAATGTTTTTCAGTTAGTGCTTCCACTTAGTAGAAGAGCACAAGTGTTGGAATTAGCACATAGTTCCATTTTCGGTGCACATCTTGGGATAAGAAAAACAAAGGAGCGAATACGATATTCATTTTATTGGCCTGGATTAGCACAAGATGTTGAAACCTTTTGTAAAACGTGCAAAGATTGTCAGTTGAAAAGTCCAGAAAAGCGATCTGACAAGATTCCCATCACACCGGTCAGAAGGCCAGGATTACCTTTCGAAACAGTTAACATCGACATTATTGGACCTATTGAACCTTCCCTCTGCTAGGAAACATAAATATGTGTTATGTCTGGTAGATCAACATTCCCGATGGCCAGAAGCCATTCCACTGAGAAGCTTGACAGCAAAAGCCACTTGCGACGCGCTTTTGGAGATTTTCATGAGAACAGGAATCCCTAATACAATAGCTAGTGACAACGGAAGTAACTTCGTTTCAAAATTAACTAAAGAATTCCAGAAAAGACTAGGTTCTCACCCTAGGTTCTCTACACCTGCTTACAGTGCTTCAAATGGATTAGTAGAAAGATGGAACAAGTCCTTCAAGCAAATGTTACATCATGTCATCAGGACTGATCCTTCGAATTGGGATAAGCACATCCCATACCTGCTCTTTGCATACAGAGAAGTACCAAACTGCACCACGGGTGTCTCACCATTTCAGCTGATGTATGGAAGACAACCAAGAGGTCCTTTAGCAGTACTGAAGTCTTCATGGTCAGGAGAAATACCTATACCACCTAATCTAAGTGAATCGGCAGTGGATTACTTACAACTTTTAAAAATAAGGTTAGAACAAGCAGCCGAACAAGCCAATTTAATTGCAAGTGATAAACAACAAAAATATGCTGAGTACTTTAATCGGAGATCAATACCAAAAAATTTCAAAATCGGAGAACAAGTTTATTTACTCATACCAGATTCAAATAACAAACTCTATGCACGATGGACTGGTCCAGGAGAAATCGTGAATCATTGCCCACCTCATTCCTATAAAGTAAAACTACCTGATGGAAAGATCAAACATGTTCATGCAAATAAAATTAGAAAATTCCAAGCTAGTGTCAATGCAGTTGGAGTGATATTTGAAAATGAAGAAGAATTTGGAGAAATTATAACTTTACCAGGAAAAGATCTCTCGACCCCCCTGGAAGATTTTAAAATAGATGCAAATCTGAATTTAGAAAATTTGAATCCGCAGCAGAGAAGAAAATTGATAGCTCTTATCAACAAACACCGAGCACTATTCACCGGAAAGCTGAAAATAGCTAAAGTTGAAGCTCATAAAATTAGATTAATACCCAATATGGAGAGGAAGAAACCTTACATTTATAGGATTCCTGAAGCATTGAAACCCAAGGTCGATGAAGAAGTAGAAGAATTATTGAAATCGGGACTAATAGAAGAAAGTAATGCAGAAATAGCTCATCCAGTAGTTTGTGTAAGCAAAAAAAAATGGAGATATCAGATTGTGCTTAGATTATCGAGCTTTGAATGCAGTGACGAAGCCAGATGACTTTCCTATGCAAAATGCCATTGATTTAATGTACAGTATAGGAAGAGCCAACGTCATAACAACTTTAGATTTGCTGAAAGGATATTGGGCAATTCCCATGGAGGAACAAAGTAAAGAGTACACATCGTTCAGTTCAAAACTCATCGAGGTCAATATCAGTTTAAAGTGCTACCCTTTGGATTAAGGAACGCAGCAGCAACTTTTCAGAGAGTAATGAATAACGCGCTGAAAGAATTTCAACAATTTTCAAGAGCCTATATTGATGACATAGCTATATTTTCCACGGATTTCGACACTCATCTCCGACATCTGGATAAAGTTTTTACCAAACTAGAGTCACTTGGATTTACTATCAATTCGAAGAAATGTTCGTTTTGCAAAACCTCAAATTAAATATTTAGGACACATCATTGGATCAGGAAAACATCAACCAGATCCCGAGAAAATAGAGGCAATCAAGAAGCTGGAAACGCCGAAAACGAAAAGAGATCTTAAAAGTCTGTTAGGACTATGTAATTATTATCGCGATTATATCCCAGGGTATGCAGAGATCGCCTACCCACTCACAGAACTCACGAAAAATAAACAACCGGAAATACTCGAATGGAAAGAAATTCATGAGTCAACATTTCAACAACTGAAGGAACGATTAGCGATGTCAACGGAGCTGATCACCCCAACACTGCAGGATCCGTTTGTCATTCATTCTGATGCATCCCAAATCGGAATAGGTGCATGTTTGTCACAGCAAAGGGGAGAGAAGCAATTTCCCATCTGCTACGCGAGCAAGAAATTATCGAAACCTCATCAACAGAGCTGGCCGACTATAGAGCGAGAAGCTTATGCTATAGTATGGGCATTGAAGAAGTTTGAACCTTGGATATTCGGTTCATCGGTGAAAATTGTGACTGATCATAATCCTCTAGCCTTTATAGTGAGAAATGCTCCGCAATCGTCCAAATTACAACGATGGGCCATAGCTTTGCAGAAATATAATCTCGAAATAGAACATTGCCCTGGAAAAAAAACTGTCAAACGCGGATGCATTATCCAGACTTCCCACTTGTGAACTTTGAACATTAATTTACTGTTCATCTTCACGAACATTTTGTATAGTTAATAATTATATAGTTTTCTTTGCTTTTCATAATCATTTTACAATTTTGTGCAAATAAGATGTTTATGTAATTTGAAATAGATAGAGAAATTATTGGATAACAAATATTCGAGGTAAGTGGTAAATTTAGATATTTGTCTCCCAAGGATTTAAATCATGCTGCAGCATCATTAATTAAAAGGAATGTTAAGAATATAATTTTATATATATATATAAAAACTTAATAATTTTACTGTCATCATTGGAATAATACTAGGGTATATTTTAACATGTTTATAAAAGAAAATATCAACTTGGTTTCTTTGAATTAAGAATTGATAAATTGTTACAATAATAATAAGGTTCGGAACAAGTGAAGTTAAAAATGATTTATCTATGTTTATATATAAAAATGTGTTATCTATGTTTATGTAGTAAATTGAGGTATGTCTATAGTAATTGAGATTTGAAAATTAGGATAGAATGTATAAAAGTATATGTAGTTTTTTTTTTCTTTTTCACGTTGATCGCAAACAGTTGCTAGATTTTAGTTTCCAGATTGCTGATTGATTTGTAAATAATATCAACAACAATCTTATGACGGGGTGTGATATCTGGCGACTGTTTGGCGATCAACAGAGCATGCTTGGCGCAGGTAGCTCTTCTTCGAGAAGGGTTAATGTATTTATTAAAAGTTGCATGTTAGCCTCGGAAGAGGAAGGTAGTAGAAGTACTATGCGGTAGGAGCGACGTACTGCTCTGAGTAACTATTATATTATGCTTTGAATTATATATTGAATAAATGTTTGTTTCGTCTTGCTAAATGGGTGCCTTATTAAACCATGAAGTCATCACAGCCTTGTACAATCATAAAACAAACACATAAATGTGTTCCAAAGAAATGTAACATTTATGAAAAAAACGAAATCAGTTTTTTTATTTAACGAATATAAATTTTATTTATTATTTTACATAGTAAAAATGGTTGTTGTATGCTTTTATACAAAACATTCGAATACATGTGCTTGCTATTCATGACTTCCATCGTTTTAAATAGGTACACTAGCAATGATAAAAAATATTAAACCTTACAGGTGCTACTAAAAACTAGCTTGACAATTAATCTGCAGTAAATGTCCTTTTTTTTAAAAAAATATTTCTTCTAAAAACTCTTTTAAGAAAAATTGTATTTTAGACACTTTATAAAAAAATTAGAATATTAAAACCGATTTCGCAAATTACATACTGCAATAAATATAATCTTGTCTTATTCTAGTCATTCTTTATTTAAAAAATATAAGAATAAAAAAGTACATGTGTATAAGATTAGATTACATCTTAGGAAATGTGAAGAAATTTTAGATAGTAAATAAATATATATGTGATAATTTCAAAATGTCACAGAATGGGATACTGAAGCATGAAGCTATAAGTGCAGATGTAACGAATTTAAATAATACTTCTCTTATTTTAGTTAAACATTTGTGGCTACAAATAACTTGGCACTCTAATCATGACTGTTCTAGAACATTTACCACAATTTCCAGAAGAAACACCGCAGCATTTATATGTTTAAAATTAAAATTTTTAGTAGCTGTGGTGTTTCTACCAATGTGGCAATTATGTGCACTTAAAAAAATATTCACTAAGATGTCATAATGGACCTACGTGCCTTTTCACCCTAAATGAGACCTCAAAACTGCTATGTTTTCACTTCATTCATATCAGTTTGAGAAGCGTCTATTCTTTGCTCCTTGATGAATCTTCTGGAACCCATTATCTCCCCTTCCCTTCCTATTGTAAATTTACTAGGGTTCTTTTCAAATGTGGCATTACTGCATCCGTGTTGCAATAAAGAACTCCCAACGTATTTCCTCTTTTTCCACCCCTTTGGCACAAAACAATTCTTCTTGGCATTCTGCCTGCTACAGATCCCATAAGCTTCAGTGTAAGTGCTTGTTGGATAGTTTTTAAGTAAGAAAGAAGTGAAAATATTTTTATAATGGCACCTAAACGGCACAGAAGCTATACTGTTAGTTTTAAGCTTAATTTCCTGTGCTAAACAAGCTGGAAATAGAGTAGCAGCTTGAGAATTTGAAGTTGATGAGCAATGCATTTGATGTTGTAGAGATGAAAATCAAGAACTTGAAAATATGGCACAACGGAAATGAGTCAAAAGAAGTGGTATTGTAAAATGGCCAAATCTAGAGGACGATCCTGCGAAGTGGATAAAGGAGCAATGAGGAAAGACAAGGACAATTTTGACTATAGAAATTCGCTTACGAGCAAAATTTTTGTTGGTGGTGGGAACTCTGAACATAAATAACTCCAAAAGAGGTCTTTGCTGGTGTAACAATAGTCAGGCAACAGTTTCCAATGAGCTGGCAGGTTGTAAAACATCTTTTCTAAAATATGTGACAGATATTATTAGTGAGAATAAAATTCTTCTATCACAAATAATAAATATGGATGAAACACCACTAGCTTTTGACTCTCCTAAAAACAGAACTGTTAAAAAAGCTGGTAAAACAGCTGTATCTGTGCTTACAACAGGGCATGAAAGAACTTCATGTATAAGTGTGTTAGTTTCTGCAAACAAGCTAAAGCCGATGATAATTTTTAAAAGGAAAACAATATCAAGATTCTGATGGCTTCATATGATGTACAGTTTGCTGTAATTCTTTTTGTCAACAAAAATAAAATAAAAAATTTTTTTCTATAATTCAATTCAATATTTTGTTGTTGCAACATTTTTTACAACACAGTATGTGAGTATTACGTATCTGGATATATGCTTAAGCTGGGTAAATATAATTAAGCAGCTTTGTGAACACAAGTGTATTTTAGACTTTTTACCTATAATTTATTTTTGAGTTATGGTTTCATTTCATGCATTTTCTTAACTGATATGCCATATATCATGACTTACATCAAGATTTTGTAGCTATGATGTTCATGTCGAAGTCATGCACAATTTAACTTAGTGAGACATTTATACTGATGAAATGTTTTAGTTTTTTGTGCCATTTTCCTCAAGTATGGAATTTATACTGATGTAGGCTTTCCTCTGGAAATTATGGTACATTTTCTATATTGTGACAGTAAGGAAAGAGCAGCAATTTAGATCAGACGAAAAGAGAAAGCAAAATCTGATGCATTCAGGATGAAATTCTAATTCATAATGGTTATTTTCAGTTTCACCCTTTGACTGGATAATTAATAAAGCTCTAAAATTATTATCGACTAAAGTCTTATGTAAGCTACTTTTGTTAGAGTGCTATGTAAAATCATATGAATTAATCTAGAAATGACACAGACCAAAGAAAGTTATTATGAGCAATTACTATTTTTATAATAGAGAGGGGAAATACACAAATAAAAATGAGAAATTAACAGGCTATAGTTAATTTAAGTTATAATTTTGATTTACGTATTTCTTATCTTACACACACACATACTTTTTTTCCCACTGTGCCCACTAAAGTCGTTACCAGCCTTTATTTTTGAAATCATTAATTGTAGATGTATACTTCCTTTCAAAAAATGCTATGAATGATATAAATGTTCATATTTTAGCCCATTTACATTAAAAAAAATAAATTTTATAAAAAGTGTAAGTTCCCCCAGTTTTAATACTCAGGAAAACTCGTGATAAAAATTCGTGAGTACTCAAGAAAATAATCGTGATAAAAAATAAAATACAAAGAGCAGCTATACAATAAAAATAGACTGAATTATTTAATTTCAAAGTTTTATAGTATAAATTTTCTTGAAAACTAAGGGGTTGTGTATAAATTGCAGAGAGCAATATTTAAATCTATATCTAATTTAAAAATAAAACAACAACTTATGAAAAGTCTCTGATGTTAATAAATTAAGTGACAAGCACTGATTTACAGACTGAAAAGTTTAGTTCAATACAATATTTTTAGAAATCTTAATTTTTAGCAGAACATGTAAATGGCAAGAATCCATTGCAAAACAGTACTCTACATGAAAGACACAATATGCATATTCTTTTGATTAGGACAAAAAATTAAAGATGGAATGGTTTATTTTAATAATCAATAATCAATATGCTGCATTTTAAAAAAATGATGGAGAAAACGTTTTCTAGCTTAATGTAAACTTAAGGTAAAACTTAACGTAACTTAAAAACTTAATGTAAAAATCAGATAGTACTAAAATATCAGCAATCACATCAACACTAAATAAAATAAAATAAAATAAAATAACAACAACAATAATAATAAAAATATAGATTAAAATGAGGGCAACAGCTAAACATGTTCTTCAGTCGTATCAGAAAAATTATATTAACATTCAGTTTATAACAGCTAGGGTATTTTATTACAGATTTTAAGGCCTCACACAGCTATTACTGCACATTCATACATAAAAAAAATAATGAATCAAAACTAACAAAATCAAATTAGAATCAAAACTAACAAAAGAGCTAAACAACCAGTGCTGATCAATAAAACAAAAAAATCTTTCTTGAAGTATCATCAAATTACAAGTTGCAAACATAGCCTCGTAACATGCAGATATAACACAAATTTCGTATGGAGCTTTTATTTCATCCCCTGCATACTTTTAATCTGTTCTACTGTTACCATCGTTTCTTCAGCTCAACGGATGGCATCGTAAATCGATCCTTCTCTTTTTTGATGTATATGAAAAATGTATGAATTCTTAGTAAATTTGACTTTTATTCCCATTCAATATATTTACTTATTAAAATGTGAAAACAATGCATAATGAATCATTGTGGAATTCTTTCAAAGTTGGTGATTAAAAAATAGCAGAAACATAACCAGTATAACAGATCTAATTTTTGTTTCTAAATCTTTGTCCTCTTTATATAATGCATTGTTTGGATTTTACATGAATTTCTTATATACATACATAAATTATGAAATATTATACTATAATTATTTCAAATTACAGATAATACTTTATTACTGTGTGCTACTTTTAACATAATTTGTTACACTTTTTTTTAAGAAAGAAATTCCACAAATAGACTTTATATTAGGTAACAGAGAAAAAAAGGAATTTCAGACTTCACTAACTTTTAATTTTGCTCTAATATAAAATTAAGTCATTGTAATTTTTTTCAAAGTATATATGCATAACTAAAATATTGATAATTTGGAATATTTAGAAGATAATATATTAATAAAGTTTTGTTGCTTATAGATATTTGTGATTGACATATTTATTTCTGTTATATAAACAGAGGTCATACAGCATGTAAGTTTTTAATATTAACATGTAAACCCAAAAATTAAGCGATTTCTAGCAAGAACATCTAATACAGCACCTGCCGCTTATTAAACACAATGATTATGAAACTCAGCCACCAGCCAGTGTAGTTAGAACCAAGACTTCCTGGGGTGCTGGGTACACTTCCCTAGTTCCTGTCACACTGTTTGTAAATCTCTTTGTCCAGACTAAAGCCGAGAGTGACATAATACCTTTGTCTTATAATTAACAAAAGCAGTCCCCTATAGGCATTGGAAACAATTTCTTTGATTATAAATTAACAAATGCTTCCCAGGATTAAAGAATAGGTGGTGCTTAAGTGAATATTGGCTCCCTCTCTTGGACACCAGCTGACAGGGAATGGATGTGCATGCACACAATAAGTCTGTAGGGCATTCTCAGTAAATATGATGAAATGCTTGCTTACATTATAGTGCATTATCAGTCTTTAATTGGAAAAAGGGAGTAGTCATTCTAGGTTGAAGAAAAAAGAAGAGAAATCATTGATTATACTTAACAGTAATCCTGAAATCCGACTTGACAGACAAAGATGCAATCTTCCTGCTAGATATAAACGGAAATTTTGGATTTTAACAAATTGGACAAAAACATTTTTTATTTGCTGTGTGCATGACTTGTAAATGTCTTAAAAAATAAGCCTGAAAGAAAAGGATAAATTACTGAGAGATTATGATGTGTTCAGTAAATGCAGCTAAGAGAAGCAGCTTTTAAAATGGGGATTTCCTGAACAACATTGTGCAATTTACTTAAATGCTGTAGATTTTGCTAAAATGTTGGGAGAAAATTTTGTGCCAAGGACAAAGAACTGGAGAGGAGGGAGGGAAAAAAAACACCACACAGAGAGAGAAAGCTTTGTTGTTAGATAACTGTGCTGCACACCCCTCTGATATTATTCTGAAAAATATTAAATTAGTGTTTCTTACTGCAAACACAATTTCTATCATTCAGCCATTAGATCAAGATCAACATAAAAGCTTTCAAATGTAATTTCAATACAAGAAAATAAACAAAACTGAATCTTGTGAAAATGAAAGCACTTTGAAGGAGAGAACTAAGTTAATATCTTTGTTAGAGGTGTGGTGTCTTCGTTCTGAAGTGTTGAGTCATTTAATTCACAGTAGTTGTCTTTCGATTATTTATTATTAACATTAACAAACATGACAAAAACAAATATGAAATATCATATGCGGCACAGTGCCAGATCTATACATCTTCCCCACATCATCATTCCTGTGTGTTCTAACTGTATTCCCCCCCTGCAATGGGAAAAGCCAACATCAGTTTATCCCTTTAGGGAATTTTAGTTGCAACAAGAGGCTATGCATATTATACTCAATGCATGGGAAGCAGTCTTTCAACACACTGATATTGCTTTAGAAAACACAGTTTTTATTTAGAAAAAGCCACAGAAGAATTGTAAACTATTTCTGTTATTTCGAACATCAATGAGAGAAATTACACAGATTTGTTTTTAGAATGCATTGCAATTTATGATACTACTGCGATAGCATGTGAAAACATTGACTATGATGTTTTAAAAAATGTTAAAAGAGTTCAGTGACTGAAACTGAAATAGAAGAAAGTGACTATATGCCAACCTCAGTTGAATCGAGAAAAGCACTGCAAACTCTAAGAATTCTTAAATTGAAAGAAGGAGATTAGAAAAGCTACCAACAGCTATTAACTTGAAAATACAATTGAAAAACAATGCAAAACAAACACAGATAGAGCAGTTTTTTTATAAAAGTTTAAAATTTCATCAGGTATGTAATTATATGATTATTTTTACTAAAAAAATCAGTCTTCAAGTTTTGTGAATAGTTTAATTTTTAATTAATAATTTAGATATTCATTATTAGATTAAATGTTAGTTACTATCTTACTAAATAAGTTCAAAGTTGATAACATAATTTACAATATTAAAATTGGCATTTATGAAACAGCTTTTAATAAGCAGCAGGTACTGTGTGTCAATTGACTAAATGTTGCACTCAAGTTTTGAAATATTCATTTATAAAATGGGCACATAAATGTTCTACGACAAAACTGTCGGAAAATTTAATTCTGACTACATCATGAACTATAATATAAGTTATTATTAAATCATACTAAAATTATTGATTGAAAGAATGCTACTCAAAAATACATGTTTATGTATATATACATCAATTCAATATAATTTTAACTGTCAGTACTATGAGACACACTGCTTAACCTGGCTTTTGGTGTATACCTAGTGCTAGTCCCATTCATACTGACTATAGGTATCTGTGGAGCATGAAGACTAGCTCGTGCAGGATATCTCTTTCCTGCAACTTCAATTTCAAAATGAGCATCATCTGTAATAAAATCTGTTGTTACAGTTTCAGGTTCACCAGTTTGTTCATTATAGTTGTGCACAAAGCCAAGGCAAATAACTCGTTCTAAGGTAAAACCATAGCCAGATGATGTAGTTTTCCCAACATAACGTCCATTACGGTAAATAGGTTCCCTACCCCAAGTCCATATATCAGTTTCTGGGTTGTGGTTCTCAAGTTGAAAGTGAATTAACCTTCGTTTTAGGCCCTTCTCCAACTGATTCTGTAATGCATATTTCCCTAAGAAATAGTCTTTCTGAAAGAATAATGAAATTTTTCTTTAAGTGACATAAATTGCATCCGAAATCTGGCACAGCAAAATGAACAAAAATAATAATAACACAGTAGAGTCCCGCAAACTTGACATAATGTGGACTGAGAGACTGTTGAGTTTCCAAAAAGTCGAGTTTTACGGAATAAGGGGGAACTCTTAATTATTTAACCCTTCGATGTGGGCAATATTATTTTTAATGTTTTAACTAAAAAACTTTAGGAATCGAATATTATGATCCAAGAGGCAAATAATATACGGATTAAAAAAAATCTACTCTTATCCATTGATCTGTGGATGGTGGTCGCACTGTGAAACTAGCACGCATCTAGGAATTGAAACCTTACTGAGGCAGTAGGGAAGAAAAAGCTTATGATTTCCCCCTTGCATTTAAAATAAATGACGAAATTTGCAAATAAAAAAAAAATGTATTTATGAACTGAATTGTATATAATTTTTTTTACATTATTTTATGAAGTAAATTGTCAGAAAATAATGAAAAAATAAACATTTATGTAATTTTTCTATAGCAGTAAAAACATAAGAACGTACGAATTAACAGCACAATGCCAAAACAACAAAAATTCCAGAAAAAGAATGCTCAAATCTTTGAACAGAACAGGAAAGATACATGCAAGAAAATAATTATATGTACCATATGTAATATTTGCCTTGTTTTGCCTCAAGATATCTTAAAAAAGTTTACCAAAAGTTGTTCAGAAGTCGAGTTTGAGGGACTCTAATAATAACAATACATCAGGATAAAATCAGAAATTGTGTCACTACATCATTTTCTGAGCAGTTTAGCTTGAATTCCTGTTTACATACTTGCAAATTTCACAAAGCAAATCTTACATGTAATAAAATTCATAGTTAAATTATAGTTTATTATTTTAAAAAATAAGTGGTGCACAAAACAAAACGTAACCAGCACAAGATAAGTATACTAATTAGACTTATTATTTTACAACATGGGAAAAAATTAATTCCTTTTTGATTTTATTTTTTAAATCACTAATTTCATGTACTGAAATTCTAGTCTTTACCTAAAAATCAGCTTTCAGCATTTACATAAAAAACACTATCTACTGCTTCATCAAGTTCTCGAAATAAAATTTCTTTTAATACATTTAAACAGAACCATCAATTAAAGTAATGTACATTAATAACAGATTTGAAACATTAAAGCATAAAGCAATTAATTTTGTAAATATGCATACATTAAATCAGTGATTTTCAATGTAGGAGATTCAGCTCCAATGACATAAATGTTAAATTTTGGATAGACAGAACTGAAACCATAATATAAAGTTCATGACAAAGAATAACTAATCATATACTCCTAAAGGAATTAAAAAAGTGACATTTGACTATCACATAAACTCAGCAAAATATTTAAAAAAGAAAGAAAGAAAAGAAAAGGGGAAAAAAGTTTTCACTTAATTATTTCTTAACACTTACAGCTGTATTCCTCCTACCTTTTAGTTCTTAAAATTAAAAAAGTATTCATGTAATATTCCCCATCCTTACTGTGTTCAGGAAGTCAGCTCCCATAAATTTTAAAAGGCTTTGATCACAGAGTGATTGTTTTTATTTTACAAGCTCGAAATACCTCCCTTTCCACTCACTAAGAATGGCAACATGTTTGTTATGTTATCTGAATGGAAGAGTGGCTCCATATTGTATGAACCTGGTGATCAGGGATTCTTCTACATTAGAAGTCAATACTGGTTTTAAACAGCTTAAGAGGTTTTTAAAAAGAATTAACAACCACCATGTTTCTGTCATTATTCAAGGATTCCTGTCATTACATCACTTATGCAACCACTGGATGCATCAGTGAACTAACCAATCAAAGAGCATCTGGGAAATTTTATAATAAATGGATGTCAGAAGGTGTATAGTTTTACTAGTGGACTGTAAAAATCCAGAGATCTATTGAATTAATTTGCTCATTATTTTGGGCTCATAGGCTCTAACTGATGAAGTAATAACAGTAAAGAGCTTGAAAAAAAAAAAAAAAAAAGAAAGATAACTAATGCTCTTGATTGTTCTAAAGATCATTGCATGTGGGAAGACATACTTCGAATGTTGATGAAGACAATGAAGCTGTAGCAAGACAACAGTCCCAGCAGCAGTGAATGATACAAGGCCAAAGTAGCAGTGGACAACAATAAGTGAAGGTGAGATATAGGGGAGCATAAATAACAATATTTGATTAAAAATCGTAATGTTAATATTTGATGTATTCCTACTGGAATGTAGGTTTTTTTTAAAATAAATAACAATTTTATGGTTATCAGTACTTTATCCATGAATACTTTTAATGTGTTATGTTCTTACTGTAATTGTGTTCTTTAGAAATTAAATTATTTATATAATTTTTCTCTCCCAATCTTCATACAAAAAAATTAAAGCAAAAATATATGATTAAATATGGTAATAATTATTTATATATTATGAATAAAGCCTGTTTTTTTAAATATAATAAACTTTAAAATTATTTGTAATTAAAAAGTTTTACTCATTATTTGAAATGCATCACTTTAATTAGATTTATAAAAAATGAGAAAAATGACATTCTGATATATGGTAAGATAGAGGAAAGGTTTGGTTTGGTTTGGTTTATTAGAATACGGAAAAGCACTCGAGGGCAATCTGCCTTAAGGGAGGGATGCCTTCGTAGAGGACGTTTTAAGGGAAACTGGCTCGTATACACGTTACACATGGGGAAAACCATGAATACAATACAGCCAGCCCGTTCACGGGAATCGAACCTCAGACCGAACTACCAGTGTTCAGCGACGTTACCGCTCGGCCGCTGGTGGGCCTGAAGGAGGAAAGGAGCTGAAAAACAAGTGACAGAGTTGATGCAAACTCTGGAAACAGACTTCCTTTCCCCCATATTACAATAAAATTTATATAGGAAATGAGACTTTTTAAAACTGTTGCAATCTGAAAATAAATGTATACTGAATACACTAGAAAAATGGAGGAAGAATAAACTTCAATTGGGAATATTACTAATTTTTCTTTCTTTCTTATTTTAAAGAACTGTTCTAAGCTTTAATTTAGATGCTTTGCTATACACAACTCGGCGATTTTGAATACCAAAAATTATTATTCAGGGGAAAAAAAAAAAGAAATTATATATACAGTGGCTCCCAAAAGTGGTCATACACTTTAGAATTTGCAGTAGTATGCAGCACAGAAATGAATTTGAATATACAGCCCCATATTTTTTCATATCGTCTTCATGCGATTTTGAATAAAAGTAAAAATTTTTTTTAATATTGACTTTTTTTTTTTTTCTAAAATTGAAAAATGGAAGGAGGCATAGGTAAAACATACCACAAAAGCGATCGTATACCCAAAACATTTTCGTAAAATTTCATAAATAAAATTGTCATCTGCCACTTTTGCATTTTGATGATGTTTAAAAATCTGCTTGCTTTATTCTTTGCTTTCTTACTTCCTAATATTTTATTTAATATTTAAAAATGGGTCGTAGTCATAAGGAAACAACAAATATCATTCGAAGATTGATCATTTTTCATCATAAGGGTGGAAAATCAATCCGGCATATCGCTAAATTAATTAATTTATCAGATTCTATGGTGCAGTATGTGATAAAATGCTTTAAAAAGGATAATCAGAATGAGAATAAAGTAAGAAGTCAACATGATCAGAGATTTATAATTAGAAAATTTGTGTTCCACCTAAAACTGCTTGACAAGTACTTGGATCAGTTGGACTACATGGGCACTCTGCAGAAAGAAAATTTTTTGCAAGTGCAAAAAATAGAAAGCTTATTATTTCCTTCACAAAATCAATGGTAAATAAGCTCTAAATCGCATTGGAACCATGTGTTATTTGCAGATGATAGCAAATTTAACATTTTTGGTTCCAAAGTTGTATGGAGAAGAAAAAATGAGAAGCTGAATTCCAAGAGCTTGGTTAGAACAGTAGTAAAGCATGATGGTTTGAAGTGTTCTCATGTGGAGGTATTATGTAGAGGCATATCAGCATCAGGATTAGGTAATTTAGTACATATTGATTTCATAATGCTCTTTATTTAAATATTTTTAAAGATAATTTAAAATTATTTGCCCAAAATTTGGGTATTGAAAACAACTTTATTTTATTTATTAGTCCAAAGGAGCTTTGTCCCTGAAGGACTATTGTTTTCGTTTTGCGATTTTGCGTCGGACTCATAAACGTCGGTTCACTTTTCAAACTGTTGCCACAAAATGTTAGAGTCCTGCATTATATTTGAAGAAATTAAATAATGAAAAATCTGCATAAATGATTGTCTATTTCTCGCATTGTGATAAAACAATGGTACATAGAGCCATCGAATTTTGAATGACGAAATCCTACTGCGAATATGGGCATCTGAAATCCCAAATTTGGAATTTGTTTTATTATAGATTTTATATTTTGTAAAACTTTAACGAATTTTTGATTTACAAACTCAATGCTTTAAAAGCGAGAAATGGCAACGTTATATAGAAAAAAAATACTTTTATCTCCAGCTTGCGAGACTGCGTATATCGGAAATTCTAAAGATATGCTTAATTTAACATTATTTTGCGATATTGCTCTTGAACTGAATTTTATGGTTTAAGTGCAAAGAACATGATATTTAATAAATAAAGGTAACACTCAAACGTTAAAAAAACGCCCCTTTGGACGTAATTTAAAATCTGAAAGATTTCAGATTTTTTTTTTTTTTTTTTTTTTTTTTAATCAGGATAACAATCCTAAGCACATGACCCTCAATGTTTGCCTTTGGAGTGCCTATATTTGTCCAAGAGTTTTAAAAATTCCACCTCAGTCACTACATTAAAATCTGATAGAACACATTTGAACAGAATTAGAGGTTAGAATATGAAAACAGAACATAAAAATGAAAATTACTGAACTAAAACAAGAATGATGGAAGTATAAAGGAACACTGATGCAAATAATTAAAACACACACACACACACACACACAACACAAAAAAAAAAAAAAGTGAACTGTATGCTAGATGTTTGAAAGCTTTCATAAATGCTGCAAGATATCCTACAAAATATTGAATAACAGAACTACTACATTATTTACTAATATATGCAGATTTCTTTTAAGTGTATAAAGATTTTTGTGAGGTAACTTTTTTGTTACTTTATGATTACTGATTAAAATAAAATAAAAATAAAAAAAAAAAAAAAACTTTCACTGTGTTCACAAAATAACTGATATTTTTGCTAAGAGAAATTTAGAGATATTATTAAAAAATTCTCATTCTCAAATATTAATTTTTATTAATGAATAAAGTAATATTTAACTGAAACTCATAAGTGTATGAACACTTTTGAGAACAAATTCTATGCAAAAACACACTAATAAAACTTAATACATTAAAACATATGCCTCAGTTCAAAGTGTGAATAGGAAATGTTTAAAATAGAAATAAGGCTATAAAAATGTATTATTTTTGTTACTACTGTATGCAATAAAATTTACATACATTTTACATTAAGAAAACATTTAATAAAAAACAGCACCAAATGTTCCCTAAAGTGTTATAGATGGTGGGAAAAGGAATATAAGATGTAAAGCTACCTACCTTCTTTCCATTTAAAATGTTCTTTTTTTATTCTTTTTTGATAAGCAAATTATAATGGTGACAATATTATTACCATACATTTGCTAAAGTTAATTTAGAATGAATATTATTTATTTACTTATTTTAAAATTTTTTATCTTAAAACAAAAATTGCTTCTACTTACCTGCATTTTAACTTTAAAACCTCGACCCACTTCAAAAGGAGTAGTATGGCTATCTAGTTCCTCAGCCCAAAATGGGATGAACTTTTCAATACGCAGGAAACGCAAAGCATAATAACCAACATTTCGGACCCCATAATCTTTTCCAGCATTCATAAGATTATTATACACATGTAAAGCATACTGTTAAAAAAATCATTAAATGTGTTATAATTTTTAGATTACTTAATTAAAAATAAACAATTTTGGAACTGAAATACAATATTATATATATATATATATATATGTAAGTCAAAATGAATGCCACAGTTTCATAGATGCTCTATACAAAATGTAATAAATGTATTCATTAAAAATGTACATACATGCAGAGGTAATGTAAGCAAGTTTTGAATGTACTCCTGACAAATGTTCTATATGCGCTCCCTTTGTTATATGACATACATCAAGTCTGAAATGGAATTCTTGCCAAACTTTATGCAGGATGTCTGTATCGATGCTGGTGATAGCAGCTTTGATATGGGCTTTCAAGTCAGTTCAAGCTTCCAAGTAGTCATTGGAACTGGAGACACACACATGTGATCTTTTACAAGTCCCCACACGAAGAAATCACATGTGGTGGGATCTGGGGATCATGGTGGCCAATACAAGAATGCATTGTCTGCGGTAGATACACAACCAATCTGCTGTTGTGGTAATGTGTTATTGAGGTGGCTCCACACTTCAATCATAAAATGTTGTAGTGTACCATATTGCTGCAGAATAAAGCTAGGCATATCCTCTTGCAGTTGTGGCAGAAGCCAAAGTTAGCATATCTAGGTACACTCCTCCCATCACAGTGGTAAAAAAAAAAAAAAAAAAAAAAAAAAAGCTCAAACTATAGATAGTTTCATAGGATATTGCACAAAACACATTAACCTTAGGAGAATCACGATGATATTGCACTAGCACATGTGGATGTTCAATACCCCAAATTCTCATGTTACACTTATTGGCTACTCCTGAAATGTAGAAAGTTGATTCATTTCTGAATACAGTACAAAGTCCGTAATCTGGACTCGTCGGGACTTCGCGATTCCGGATTATAGATCATCAAATCTGGTAAGATGGCATGCAGAAATTATACTATTAAAAAAGCAATTATGATCTAAAGGGTATCAAATTTACACACACACACACACAAACACAAAAAAAAAAAAAAAAAAAAAAAAAAAAAAAAAAAAAAAAAACCTAATATTTATTTGTTTACTTCATTAAACATTTCTTTCAACGCGCACATGCATAAAGCATACACACGAAATGTTTGCGCATTCTCTACGCGCTTGCGCAAAGTTTGTGGCTTTGAGGTCTGGATTATAGATCATTCCGGATAATGGATGTCCCAATTACAGACTTTGCACTATACTAACTTTTTCAAAAATTTGTCATTCTGCATGTGAGTCAGAAGTGTCTCACAGAAAAATAATCGAGATGGCAGATCTTCAGATTTCAAATGTTGCACCAAATACAAATGATACGGTTTCCACACAGTTTTCTGGGGTACTCCCAGTTTTCAGCCACTTAATATGTCAATTTTTGAGGACTTCTCACATAGCTGGCTCCAATACACTCAACTATGTCTTCTCCTACTGAAGGAGCACCTGTTGATTTTCCTTTACAAATGCAACCTGCCAACTGAAATTTTGCACACCAACGATGGATTGCCTTATGACTCAGCATGGCCTGTCTATATTTTGTTCAGAACTGGCACTGCACAGTGACACTAAACTTGGTAACATGAAACCCAAGCATACAAAATGCTTTTTGCTTTGCATCACCTTTTATGAAGGCCTTGTTTTTCTGCCAGTTTAAAATTCATCCTCTATTAACTCAGAACAAACATATGCAAAAACCAAATACCAGAAGAATATTTTAGACTTAGCTATAAAACAGGTTGAATTTATTTTTTTTTTAAACTTTTGTTGCTCTGTTATTTTTTATTTCAAAATTTTTGTTGTTCTAATGTTACAGATTTTATGAACTAACTCCTCTTTTTATTTATTATTTTTTATTTTATGTTTTTTGGATCAAAATTTTCCTATGTTGGATTGCTTCGGGTTTACATATTTTTTGACATGGTTAGCTTAAAATGAAAATTATTATTATTATTGGATTTTAAAGCTTCTTTGCTTATGATTTTAATGCTATATATTTCAAAGTGTGTTTAACCAGGCATGTGGTGTTTCAAAATTTACATATATTTTTGTTTCTGCACACGCTGGATTGCTTGTATCTGCAGATCTTGTTTTTTTTTAACAAAAATTTGTTTATGCTTTTGATGCTATAATTTTGCAATAGTTTGCACTGCTTACTGTGGCCTGTAGAGGTTCAACTGATAAAGACAGAAATTACTTTGATAATTTTTCCGAGATTATTTTAAGTTCAGACTTCAGTTTGTGTCATTATTGGTTCAGAAACATTTATTATTTATTGATTTATTTACTTTTTTCATTGCACCAGACCCTGATGATATACAGTTGACTTTCCAATGCCGTACTTCTCACATAATTTTGAGACGGATATGACTTTATCCATTTTTTGCAGCAATCCCACTTTTTGTTTGATGGACATCGAAACATGCTTTCGCTTTGTAGATCCTTTGGCAGCTCCAGAATTGGAAACTCTTTTTTACATAATCAAAAGTTCAAGCTTAATTTTTATAAAATTGCTCTAACAGTCTGAAAAAAATAAGTCGGATCCAATTAGAAGATTAAGGAACAGCGCCAATCTGCAATATTAACCGATATGCCTTAGAATCAGTAAAGATAATTTTAGCCTACTTATACCATCCATTATACATTAAATGCGCATGTGTAAAACGCATTACGCACATGCATAAAGCATACCAAAAAAGCAGTTTATGGCTTTGAGGTCCGGATTATAGATCATTCTGGATAATGGACATCTGGATTATGGACTTTGTAATGTACTTATTTTTTATGGTCATATCGGAGCAGGATTATAGCTTTAGATTAATTAAGATTAAAAAAATTGAAAAGTTTTTACTTTATTGCATTCTAAATAAACCTTAATTTTATTTATATTATTTTTTATTTGACAACTTCATTTGAATTGTTTAAAAAATTTCAAAATATCCATATTTAATTCAGAATTTGGCTCTATTGAAAATTCTCTGGCTGCTCTTTGAAAAAGAGGAAGGAATTTTTAGCAATTTGTTATTTAATTTATTATGCTATATTATTGCATTGTTTAAGTATATGTACTTCCTGATAGACTGTTAACCCACCTTTTGATTTAATTATTATTTCTTGATCATTTAATAAGTTTTGCAGCATTCAGAGGCTGTTTGCACATTTTTTTAGACGATTTTGGTAAGCGGTAATAAAAAATCGTTTGCTGCAAAAGAAGTAATTGCAATTGTACTATGTTTTTAATAGTCAAAATTATCATCTGTGGCTTGAAAGTTTTGTTTTTATTCAAAATGGCGAATTTAACATAGCAGTGGTTCGAAGGCTATATTTACGCTCTTTCCGAAGAGAAATATGCATACTCCGTTATCCAAAAACGATGTGAGAGTCATGGTTTTGTGATATCTAAAGCGTCTATAGGTAATATCACCAACAAGAAAGGAAAAAAAACCGTCAAACTGGAGCCTAAAGTGGGACAAAAATTCCAAACATGTATCCAAGGAAAAAACGGACATCTTCGACTATTGCAAAGGTACGTTGTTTAATGTTAAAAGAACATCCCCCTAGTCAAAGGACAGTTGCAAAATCATTAAAATGCTCGGTGTCCAGTAAACAAAATGATAAACGTTGATTTAAATCTTAAGAAACGAAAAAATGCAATGTGCATCTTCTTCCAAAGCATATCGCTCAACGCAGGACACATTGCAGAATTCTATATGAGAAACACTTATCCAAAGAAAAATGGAAAACAATTGTCACAATAGATGAAGCATGGGTGTATTTAAATGATTGTAACAAAAAAAAAAAAAAAATTATCATAAAAAGGGGAGAAAAAAATGGTTCAAAGAATCAAAAGAAAGTTTTTCTAAGGGATTCATGATTGTTGCTGGTTTTTCTTGTAATGGCAAGTTAAAAATAAATAGAGTGAAAAAAAAAAAAAAGTCAAGATTAACTCCAAATACTATCAGGAACATATTTTATCGCCAATTTTTCTGAATGAAATACCATCGCTTTACCCACAGTGCCATCAATCTGCGAGACTCCATCAGGACAAAGCTAGCAGTCACACATCAAAATCCACTGTAAATTTCCTAAAAGAAATGGAACAAAAAAAACTGGTATCAAGGCATAACCCTTCACTGATATCCTACTAATCTCCGATGTGTCATCTATGGATTTTGTGCTTTCGAACTTTTAAAAAACTGCATTATCCAAATGTTGTCCCAAAACCCTAACAGGACTCTGGAAAGCTGTTCGGGAGGAATGGGATAGAATACCTCTTCTGCCACTTCAAAAGGCATTATTATCCTGGAAATTGCAGTCTCGAAAGATAGTTCAGAATAAGGGATGTCAAATAGAACATTTAAAACACAAGAATTTTATGTAATTTAGTTTTGTGAATACAATATACAACGTCTAAAATATGTGCGGACAGCCTCTGTATTGCATTACTTTAATAATTTATAATCTTAATTTGAAATTTTTAATTTTTTGTGTAAGTGAAAAACTAAAAAAGAAGATAATCAGTTTTAGTTCAATTTTCCCATATATTCAAGTAATCCGTACTTCAAGGATAAACTTTAATTCCAATTCCATTAATTACGAAAATATACAAAAATAATAGTATAAATCAAACTGAGAGCAATATTATAAATTTTAAAACAGTACTTTTATATTTTGAGTTGCTTTTTATTAAGGACAGAACAGGTGGTCAAACTTTAACTTGATGGCTAGATAAACGCAATTTATGCTTTAAAAAGAAGTAGTTTTTCAATTCAAAATATAGTTTGAAACAAATATCACTTCGGAAATTTATTAACAATCAATAATTTAATCTTTAAAATCACTTATGTTTAAACTTAATTGCCCATGTAATAAACAAAACTTTCACAGCTCTTTATTTTTATACAGAATATCTTGATTAACAGGAATATTGATTTTATGAGACAGTTTAATATCTTAAAATTTAACAAGTATGTTCTAAAAAATTTGAAATTTTTCTTAACACCTAAATAGCTCATTTTTATTAGATGAAATGTCTAAAAATAAACAAACTGAACTAACAATTTGCTAATGGTAAGTAATAGATATTATAAAGATGACATACATAAGAATCAGACAGAAATCATTAAATGGGATTATCATCTTTGCTTTTCACATGCCTTAGGAGAAGTAACTCTCATTTATAATGTCCTTTTATATGCATTAATTATCTGATCTTCTTTTAATACTGATACTATCCGACAAGCCCGCCAAATGAGCAGGTTGCAGTCAGAGCAAAATTGGTAAGTTCTATGTACCCCTGAAAAGCAAATGCATAAAAACCTTTCAATATAGAAGAAATTAGTTCATTCTTTCTAAGCAATAGCCAATTCGAAAATAATTTTCTTATTGCCGAACCAGGAAACAGAAACTTTTGACATTTAAGGTTAATACATATGACATCATGATTTAAATTTAATGTAATATAACAACATTTTCTCAATATTAATAAAAGAATTAAGGTGGCAATAATATATTGTGTCAATTATATTAACCTGAAACAAAAAAGTTGCCAAGAGCAGCTATTTATTTATAATATTGACATTTTTACTTTTTTTTTTTAAACTTATTACATGATTCGCCCTTAGACAATACATAGAAAGGGAGGGATGTCCCATGGAGGTCTTTTTACAGGAAACTGGCTCGTATCCACATTACACATGGAGAAAACCACAAAAACACCCATGCAGCCATCCTATTTGCCGGGACTCAAACCCCAGACCGAACTAGAAGTGTCCAGCGGCTTTTATCACTCAGTCATTGGTGGGTCCAAAATACTGACATTAATGAACAATTTTCAACATACAGTGTGACATCACATGCAATCGTGTGCTTTCTTCAATGCCAGAATATGATCTTACATAATAATGAAATATTTAATGTTTGGCAATATTATTTTTATTTCACATTTTGAAAAACTTATGAATTTTTTATTAACGAACTCTATGATTTGAGAGGAAGCAGAAGCAACACTTTTCAAAATGAAGCATTTTATCTCCAATGCGTGAGACTGTTGCCACTCGGAAAAATGAGTACTAAAATTAGTGTTTTCAGAGTTTTTTAATTAATATCTCAGTTAATTGAAGTCGTACGACGATGGGAACAATCGAAATGGCTTCCCATGAATTTTTGGCATTGGCAATAATATATTTAATGTTTGGTAATTTTTATTTCATACTAGCCGCTTCTTTCGTCTGGCTTTTAAATGTACTGGAAAAATGCCTGAAGGGAACACCAAACATTAAATTAAAAAACTCCACAGAATATTACTTTGCATAGTATTACATATATAAAAAAATGACAACGAAATATGCCAATCTCTTAATAACAGTGACATAAGAAATACGATGAAAAATTGTTGCCAAACCCATATTTCTAAAAGAATGAAAATATTTAAAATGATGCGATTTCATCAAAAATCTATCAACAACAATAAGAAAGGAAAATTGTTGCCAAAGTCACATTTTTAAAGATGTGAGAAGTGTACTCGGAAGCTTCATTTAAAAAATTTTTAAAAATAAAAAATACTATCATTTTTCCAAAATTCTTTTTTGTAAAAGCAGTCGTAAGTTTAACGTGTCCAAAAATCAAAGAAAAATAAACTGTACATTTTTAAAAAGAAACTTTTTTAGAAATTCCTGTTGAAAAAGTGTTAAGCTCACGTTGTTAAATAAATTTGTATTTAATCGATTTATTGAAACATGAAATTTATTTTAAGTTCGTAAAATAGCTAAGTGCCTATATTTCATGACGATATGAAAATGGAGTGTGTAGAGTAAAATCTCGCTTTCTTTTAGCCCATTATGTCTCAAAATGATGCGTTTTCATCCCAAAACATAAAATAAAAAAAATTAATTCGAATTTCGAAAAAATCGCTTCGAGGTGCACTGGCTCTTGTCTAGATTCACTTATGTACCAAATTTCGTAGCTATGGGTCTACTAGCTTACGTGCAGCGCGAACAAAAGATACACACACAGACAGACTCTTTCTTTCATTATATGTATAGATTTCATAATTTCATTATATGTATAGATTTCATAAAACTTAAAAATTTTTTATTAACAAACTCTATGATTCTATCTCTATCAAAACAAAGCATATTTTTATCTCCAGCATGCAAGACTGTTGCCATTTGGAAAAATGAGGGTGAAAATTACCGTTTTCAGAGTTTTTAATTAATATTTCTGCTAATTAAAGTAGCACAAAGATGAGAATGGTGGAAATGGCTTCTCACGAATTGTTGGAATTCGAAGGCATCTCTCTCGAAATTCAACTCCCCCTCCATTTCAGAGGAGATAATGCCACAAACAAATAAACAAACAGACAGAAACGCACAGATTTTAATAGTATAGATTCTTATCTTTCTCGACATATAATTTTTTTAAATGTTTTTGAGCTTTAATGGAGAAACTTAGCTGCATAGAATAAAATCAAACATTTAACTTTTTTCTCAGAGGGCTGAATCACCTTCTCTTTGCAAGAAATACAGTTTACATAAACAGAAGAATAAAACTGTCAAAATCCCCTGGCTAGGTTGCAGTACCAAATCTGTTTTTAAACACATCTAATTTGTAATATTCCAGTCAAAACAGCAACAAATAGCAGATCACATGCTTAATGGCAAGAAGCTCCCAAGATAGGCAATAATTTAAGAAAGAAAATTGCATTTCATTCCTTAAAAGCAACTCTCTAAAACTTCATACACATTTAAGGGAATAATAATAAAATTCAGATTCTAGCTTTGATTCATGTCTTGTTGAAACTTGTCACATAAATAAATTTTTAAAGCTTAATAAGCTTAGAGTAGACTTTTAAGGTACCCCTGGTATTATGGCGAAGTTGTTGTTTCATTTATCACCAAGTTGTTGTTTTATTTATCGCCAAGTTATTGTTTCATTTATGGTAGCCTGAGTAGTTGAATTTTATGGAAACCCTATTGTGATGGAATCGGGTGCATGATTCTGGGAAATTTTGAATCATGAGATGTTTTGTAAGCACTTTTGTGGTGTGTGTGTGTTGGTTTTATTGTTTAGACGGTAGAATGGCCGAATATAGTAAGATTAATTTGAAGTTTCTGTACAATTTGGAATGAAAGGGAAAAAGTGTGTTAATTGACTGCTGTGTAAATGAAGGTTTACTTAGTAGCCATTATAAGTGTCCTGTATACAGGAAGGATATGCGTCTAGTCAAACGTAAAAACCATTTAGATGGATTTGAATGGGTTTGTAAGAAGAAAGGTTCAGAAGCGGTGATGCCGATTTACAGATTCAAGTTCAGATAATTTTAGGAAGTTTTTGGATGCTGTTAAGGAATTTTGTGTGCCACAGACTAAAGACGAAGGAACTTCTAAATAGGTTAAGTGGATATTTGCTTTTTGTAGTGCTTAAATGCATAACATGTTTTTCCTTTTTTATGTTATTTTATTGTTTGGTTTAAAATTTTACTGAGATTATGTATTTTTTGTTTGCCTATATTGTAGAAATGGGTGCTTCTTTGACTTTTTAAGTGAAAATATATCGATGCACACATGGACAAAGTGAAGGGAATGCGCAATGCAAGTTTGTGTAATTCTTGGATTTTTTTAAGTGAAAATAGGTCAATGTGTACGTGGATAAAGTCATGGGAGAGCACAATGCCACTTTTGTGCAATTCAGGGATTTTTTTTTAAGTGAAAATAGGTCGATGTGTACATGGATACCGAGTTTGTGCAATTCTTTGTATTTTTATTTTGGCTTCATGTAGCGGCGATTTTTTGCGCAAAAATCGCCATTATGCAAGCCAAAATAATAAGTCAAAGAATTGCACAAACTCCGTATCCATGTACTGTCAAAAAGCGGCAAGTTTCACCAAGGGGTACCCTAAAATATATTTTTACCCTCAATAATTTTGCCATAAAGAAAAGTAATAATAGAATAACTGACAAATAAAAGTACAAGCTAAAAATGATAAAGTATATAACATAAATATTCAAAGTTTCACTTTGAATAGTGAAGGGGAAAATGGAATGAGTTATATAAATGATTAACTGAAATAATATTTTATGAAAGTTTTTTTGGGAGGGGTGACAAATATAACACGAGATGAAATAAACAAATGGATGAAAATAAATAAATGATTCATTGAAATAAATATTCTATTTATCAGTACCATTTATCCATTGTTCAGATACTATAATAAAGATGAAATTTTATTATATGAAGCAAAAATACAGCATTGGTATATCACAAAACATTTTAGCTTACTGTAGATGAAATAGTTATTACAACATACCTCTGACGGAATATAGAGGGAATATCCAGGTTCACCTGTGTTATTAAATCCCATCACAAGAACTTCTCCAGCATATCCAACATTGATTTTCTAAAAAGAAAAGAATTTTGAAAATGCCAATAATTTAATGCCCATTAGTTAAAATGAAATAGTACATAAAAATTTTTTAAATATACATATCAAGAAAACATAATATGTATAAAAATAATTTGCCTGCTTCAGGATGCATTGCTAAATTAAGTAAAATTAATTCCCAAATGTTTGATTTAAACTATCATTTAATTTCCATTAACTATAGTAAACATAAACATAAACATATACACACAATATTAAAAATGTTTAACTATTGTCGGCATAATTAATTCAATATAATTAATTAAATAATGGAAAAATCTTCTTAATATTTCAGAAAATTTAAAGTTTCATAAATATATGCATAGGGAAAGAATCATTTATTGAAAATTTGAGATAAAAAGGTTTTCAATTTATCTATGGCTAAAAACCTTCCAGTATTTTATTTAAATGTGCACACCTTTTCATGTATTCATTCAAAGTGCATATAAAAGTATTTTTCAAATATTCTATCTTGCAAAAATAATTTCAGGTATGAATTAGAGTGTACATAATGATGAAAATTAATTTGCACATAGGAAATACTGAAAGATGATTAAAATGAAGAAACCATAAATTTGTGCAGCACTAATTGAAAATAATGCATTCTAAAGAAAATGACAGTTTATTACAAACATATGGTTCTTATGAAGAATTCAATAGCTTACATATATAGTAGAATCCTAATAACTAATACCCTGATCACTTAATTTGCAAATATTTGTGACCTGTGCTCAGTTCTGAATGTAAACAAATAAATTTCAATTTTCAGAAAATTCAGCATGTCAAATTTTATAGCATTTTTTCCTCATATTTCTATGAAAATAAACTCTTTAAAAATACACAATATTTATAATAAATTTTGACTAAAGAAGTACATTAATTTTATAATTTAAGTTACTTAGCATTTTCTGTGCCTGCATCAAAACTCTTTTTATAGTAAACAATGCAAATTTTTGTTTTAAACAAATCTTTATTTTTGACTGTATATTCTGTTGCCTTTTAATCCTATGACGGCTCATTTTTAAAATGTAAAATTGCTTAAAAAATTGCATATATTTTTATTACATATTTTTAATCTACATGTATTTGAGATGTAAAATGTGTAGCACATTTTTTTTTAATTAAGATTGTTTTAATATAGATTTCATGCATAAGAACAGGCTTTGATAACAATCAGTTTTAAGAGTACTCATATAAATAGGCAAATTCTGAAATATATCTTGATCAAATTATAATTTACTTTATAGAATACAAATGTAAAGTAGGTATACTAATGAAAATATTCAATATTTACATAAATTACATTAGAAATTAAGTTTAGTGTGGTAAACTTCAAAATAAGGTTTCAGTCAAAGTCCTACTTCACATTCTTTGTACCAAATTTAAGTTCCTTTAGTAATTTTTTTGCTAACTGCAGATTTTTTTGAAGCAATAAATAGAACACTATGTGCTAGGCTCTTTTTTTTATGGGATTGGATATCAAGATATGCAGTCTAGTCTCAAGATCTAGTTTCAAGATATGCAGATTATCAGAATTCCATAGTAGCAAAAGTGATAATGAAAGTTAATAAAAAATTTTATTGGTACTTCAGTATTATTTCTTTTTCTTTCAATAATTGAAATACATATGAAAATTCCAATATAACAGTAATAAAAAACAAAATTTTTTAGTTTTTGATTTAAAGATATTTCAATTTATTAATGATGTCATTAACAAAGTATTAATTTTTTTTAAATACTAAACAAAAATGTAGAATATCAACTCTTATTTAATTCCCCATAAAGTACAATTCGCAAAATACTTTCCTCTAAACTTTTAACTGATTTTTAAAAGGATGAATGAATTTGTTTATGGTATTTCAGAAAGTCCTAATCAGAGAAGAAATATAAATGATCCAGAAAAATTATGAGAATGCAGATTACTTTGTATTGAAGGAAGTCTAAGACAAGATCTCCGTGGTTACGGGATAATATCTAACTTCAGATGAAATAATAATAAATCACATAAAAATATTATTTTAAGGAAAAATAACAATAATTTGCTATATGCAAGAAATTAAGCTAAAATTTTTCTATCATATTTAACATAAGGTGAATTACAACTGTTTTACAAGTTGAGCTAACAATATCTGTTAATGAATCTTGTATAATATCTTCCTTTCCTTTTAAAACTAGAATGTCTTTGAAATGTGATTTTAAGTGATCATTACCTTACAAGTAAAGCCAGGTATATCCATTTCAGTCCTGGTCATTTCTGACATAAGTTCTCTAGACTTCGGTCCTACTACATTAAGTACAGTATACATTGAAGTAACATCTCTCATAGAAACTGACCCATCCTTTGGCATATGCCTTCTCATCCACTCTGTAATTCGAGTTTGCTGAGCGGTAGGTGACATCATAAAATAACTGTAATATTTTAAAAGATAAAATAATTATGCTTATCGTCTAAAATATGTGCTCAGCAATTAATTTATAAATTAACAAATATTTTTATTATATAATTTATAAATTAATCTGAGATAATATATAACATATTAATAATGGTAAATATAGTTAATTCACCTATTTTATTCTATACATAATTTCAATACAGATCTTCATATAAATTTTAACACACAGGTTTCACAGGTGAAATTAAATCTCAACATGAATGCTTTTATACAACTTTATACATTAACTTCCAAAATACAAAACTATATTTAGAAAAGATGATAGGCATAGATGGAATACAATATACATACATAGATAGGCATAGATGGCATAGATGATAGGCATAGAAGGAATACAATATACAATCACACTGGTTTGTGCTGATTTTTTATACAAATACTTTGTTATTCAGTTTTGTCCATTTTATATAAACAGACAAATCTCAACCATTCACTTGAAAGGACTTACACATATAATGCATTTAATTTTGTGATCTATTCTAAATTAAAAGTATTTTTTGACAACAAAATAGTCAAATAAATATGATTCAGCATTATCAGAAAAGAAATTTTTTTTTAATGCCTTCATGACAACAATTTTTAGCTAAAGCTAATTTCATCTGAAATAACCATTATTTCTTAAATAAACACTTTATTAAAAAAACACAAATTTTGCTCAGAAGCTTATAACTATATGCTTCTTTTCTTAAGAATAATTATGATTAATGAAGATAAAACCTGTATCTTTACTGTAAATACAAAGTTTTTTAAAAAAGAAAGAACTTGCATTACTAACCAGTTGTGTGCTCTTCGTAAGAGCAAGCAATCATTTTCATAACAACCTTTATCATTTTGCATTCCAGAAGATACAATATTGCCCACAGGAACATCAATATCGTTAGAGCATAATAACTGTAATAGGTCTACAACTTCAGTTGCTCCAGACTGAAAGAAGAAAAACAATCTGTAGATGTTTGTTAGGATTAAAAACTATACCTTCAGCTTACAGATCACCAAAAAGCTAAAATGTTTGATTTTATCACCCATACTTGTCTTCATATGAAATTTTTAAAGAGCGAATAGGAATCTGGTTTTCTGTTTTCCAGTGTCATTTCATTAGTCAAAATGACAATTTATTAAAACTTAATTTATAATTTAATTAATTAAATTAATATTTTAAAGTTTAAATAGTTAAGGTTTAATAGTTAGAAGAAGGCTTCAAGGTAATCTAACTCATACATTAACTAATTCTCTTCAGAATCTTTGCAGAAGAAATATCAGAATGGTGGCCAAATAAACAAGATTTAGTTACATAAGATTTATTAAAACCTTTTTGATAAGAATCAGGCTCTTTAATACTAATTTTTGAATCTTTTTTGGTTTGAAATTAACTAACCATATATATATATATATATATATATAATTTACAAAATGACACAGATTATTATAAATTCCTCAAATGAAATTTAAGACACAGTCCTTTTAAATTGAATGAAATTTTACTATTGAAAGAAAAACATAAAGAAAACTATCTACAATAACTTTGTTTCCAACTACAAATTTATTACATATTGGAGCACCAAATTATTTTCTATAACCAAATTATTCATAAAACATACATTCTAATATTCTAAAGTAATATTATTAAATGTCTTTTAATAAAACAATTTTCATTTTATTTACATTATTTTTGGGCATGTTTGAAAGAAAGTGACACATGCCATTCTTATTGAAATGTAAGATTGTTCTATGATATTTTGAACTTTATGTTGTTATTAAGACTGTTTTTCATAAATTTATTTTTCAAACAACAGTTCAAAAAACAGTTTCCCCTTTAAAAATAACAGTGATGGAAAATAATTAATATATAAGAAAAGTAAAGTACTTAGTGACTAATTAGCATGTATTAAAATTCTTTTAATATCTAACTTGAAATCTCTAATGATGTGTATGGAACAACCAAATTACCAAAAAAGAAAATTTTCAAATTAAAATAACAGAATTTACATTTTATGAATAGTCATAAACAGTAACTTTATGATGGATGTTTTTATCACATAGAAATCCTTTATATTTCTTAGTTATTTTGCAAACCTTTTTTTCTTTTGCATAATTAATAATAAAATTAACATAAATTTCCAAACATAAGTACATTTAAGACATGAAAATCAAAAACAACTGAAAAACAGCAGTTGTAAAACTATTTCATTTTAAAATTTAAAGACTTTTACTTTGTAAAAAAAAAAAATCAAATATATTTAATACAGCTTTACATATCATATAAAACTATATTCAGGAATAAATTTTTATATTCAGGGACATTAAACTAATTTTGGTATTTGTCTTCTGCAGCGGCCTTGGTGAAATTCAAGTTTAAGAATGTGCAGTTTGTTGCCAAATATTGTAAACATCCACAAAAATACAACTGACTAGAATACACATAAATTGGCAATTTATTCAATACCTATATAAAACAAGTTATTATATATATATATATAACATAAAGAAATTAATATAATATGATTTGTATTTTGTTTTTATAACAACATTTAATATAATTTTGTCAGAAATTTATTCAAAATAGCAACATAATTCAACAGAACTATGCGATGTATTTAAAACAACAGCACATAAAAACATGCCAGAAAAATATTAATTATTATTAAACATACCCACAAATTCTATGTATTATTTTTACTTAAATACAATTTTATTAGTTATATATTAAAAAGTTACATAAACATACTGGAAACTCATTTTTTAAAACTTTTTCTGGTGGCCACAGTTCAGCAACTGCCACTAATAATGCCTCAAGTATCAACTACAGCTTCTTTTTTCATTTATAGAAGATAGAAAATAGAAAGCATAAGAGTGTTTTACAATGAAAAACTGCTATACTGACAAAATACAATACCGGAAAACCAGTAAGATCATTAACCATTTGCTTCTCAAATGTGCACAGATGGGTAACTGTTTGTTTCTTGGATATGTACAGATCGGTAACTGTTTGTTTCTCGCAAACATATAAATACAGATCGGTAGTCATTTATTTCTCACCAATGCAGAAATGTGCCAAATCTTATTCTCTCGACAAGGCCGTTACAGAAGATCAGTATTCGGTCTGATCTGAAGTAAAGAGATAAAATATTTTCCTTATGAAAAATTTTCAAGTTATCATATACAAAATTTCATGACTGTTTTCATGATATAATGTAAGACGTTGTAAACCATACTTACTTTAAGATGGAATTTTGTGAAGGAAGACATATCAATGATACCAACACGTTCTCTACAAGCATTATATTCTTCTCTAACACTCTCAAACCAAGAGGGTTTTCCAAAAATAATATCAGGTGGGTTAAGACGTTCTTCCTCTATTCATAAAAGTACACTGACATATCAAAACCTCATATAAGAGCAAAATTTGCGAAGAAAATAATTAGAAAACAAATACAAAAGATACATAATTTTGGTAAATTATTCATCAGAAATTAAACAGTCATATATTTATAAGCTTGTGGTAAGTTTTACTAATAAAATATTATTCAATGTACATCTTTCCTTTCTGTTTCATTTTACTATGAGGTTTGCTTATTCCAAAATTTATACAGATCTGAGTGCCAGGCAGTTTTATTATAAAGTTAGAAGAATTACAAATAGTTCTGTGTGAAAGTTTTGGCCTTCTAGCCACCACTGCTTTGCCTTGTAAAGTTTTGCTGTCTGCTGACAACTCTGACACTGATCTTGAATTACCAAGCATAGTGAAAGGGTACCTGTGTTCTGTAAGTTATACATTAGAATTTTTATCAGTGTCTAGGTGATGCTTGTAGCCCTTAATAGTAAATACACTGGTTTCCAAAAATTATGGGAAAATCATAAGAATAGTGATAACTCATTCAAAAATAAGCCAATTTGTATAAAATTTGAATATGTTGTCATATAAGAATTGCTGAGTAAAACTGCAGAATGCAAATTAGTGGTGCTTCGATTGAAATACGTCATCTGCAAGGAGCATTAAATTGCATGTTTCGCAGCAAGCTGTAACACTGAGATAAGAAATCTGGGATAGCCAATCTGTAATAATGATTTCCAGGCTAATGTCAGATAGAAGTAGCCAAATGGCTAAATACGAGTCCTCCTGTGCAGGAGACTTTTGAAACAATTTCTAACCACAGATTTAGCATCCAGAAGGTTCAACCAAGGATGGCCAACCACTGTGACAAGCGCTGATGACTGATATTTGTTCTTATGCACACACAGGAATAGAACCTAAACTCCATCTCAACTCAGATCCTTTCTCGCTGCAGTCACTGAAAGGTTGGTGTCAACATCATGAGTAGAAGTCATCACGAAGGAGGTCTGTATGCTATGTGAACAACCATTTTTGGGCTGCCCACGTCACTTCACAGAAGGGAATGTTTGAGATGGCATGTCAACATGTCCCCTGGACACCTGATCAATGGAGGGTAGTTCTCTTTATGGATGAGTCCAGGTTTAGCCTCCAAAGTGAAAGTTGGCATTATTTGATTTGGAAAGAGCCTGGAACCCTTTATCATCCATCAAACATTTTTTAAAGAGATGCATATAGAGGAGGACATTGTCTGTGTTTAGGTGGTATCTCTTATCTTTTTCTTTTGGGTGGATGCACAGACCTCCATGTCTTTATGTGTAGAACCACGAATGCTCAGGCATCTTTGATTCTTATGTGTGCCCTTATGCTGGGACATTAGGTGATAATTTCCTGATGCAGGACAATAATGCTAGACTACACAGGGCTCATACCGTGGACGATTATCTTCAGCAGCAAACAATTCAGCACATGAAGTGAGCAGCTCGATCAACGGACCTGAATCCTATCAAGCACATTTGGTAAGCTTTAGGAAGACTAAAGCTGCTCTCAATCCTCCTCTTCAGATCCTTGCCACACTTGCAACAGCTTTGCAAGAGCAGTGGCTTTCACTTCCTTCAGAAATGATAGACTGCATATTTGACAGCATGGCACATCGCTATATGTGTTGTATTGCTTCTAAGGGAGATCATACTTCATATTGAAGGTAACATTCCCTATACCAAACTGACACATCATGCTAATTTCTAGAACACCATAATTATCTGGTAATTTCTTTTCACGTGATCTTTATACCTTCCTCTGTGTTGTATACTTTGGGTGAGTTTCACAAAATTCTACAAGCAACTTTTTGAGTAATGGTCATTTTTGTGATTTTGCCTTAATTAATGATAACCAATGCAGATTAAACTGCTTAAAATTACCGCAGTTTTTTTTTTGGGGGGGGGAACTTATTTTTATGAGTATTATGTTGTATAACCCTCAAAAGTAGTGAGGTGGAATAAATTTTAATTTATTTTATGTCTCAAGAGCCAGTTATTTATGTCTCAAGAGTTAGAAATTCATGTAGTGAAAACTCACGAGTAAAACACATGCAACACCTTTATCTGATTGTAAATGAGCTAGCTAAATTAATTTGAAACCGTATTTTTAATCAAATTAACTGGGGGAAAAAAACTTACTAGATTTTGATGGATCAAAATACAAAACTCTCTCAAAACCCAATCTTTCTCCAAATACAGCTCCAGCTTGTTCTTGAACAGTATAAAGTGGAGAGCATCTAGATTTACGTGCAGTTTTAAACTCCGTTAGTATAGGATGTCTGATAGAATAATTATAGCCTAAAATTCAGAAATTAAATATTCATTTACTTAAAACCACATTTAAATTTAGAAGAATGTTAATTTATACAAAATGCATTTTCATGAGAACTACAACTATGGTGCAGAAAAAGAAACTTTTTTTTTTTTTTTTTAAATTTTAGAACAATGCCTTTTTGAATTTATATTGCTTGGACCCTAGTAATATAATTGACTTTTTTAAGTAGCAGCACCAATTATTGGAAATATTTTTATGTCATAATGAAAATTTTAACTTTTTATTAACATCTGCTTGCAAAACCTTTCTTTTGCACATTACAAAAACTAATTTTTGAGTTTTCCAAAGGGATTTTTTTAGGAACTGATAGACTTTGAAGAAAGACATCTTGAACAATTCTTCAAAATCCTTTCAAATTTGATAGATGATGATCCTCATTTTTATCTCTTAGTTCACGTCATAATTTCAAATTGGATTTAGCACTAGTGACTGAGTGAGCCAAAGCAGAACATCAGTACTGTTTCATTCAACTCTCCTTCCCTGGAGCTCCTAAATATGTATCAAATATGCTTCCATTCACACCATGAAGGTATACAGAAAGGAGGGAGAAAATACCTTATAAACTTTTAAATTTTTTATACAGAATAATCAAAATTGGTCTTTAGAACAATATTCAACAAGCTAGAATTCATATTTAATAAAATAAAATATAATTACAAATTTTGAATATTAAAAATCTGAATCTGATAAAGTACACAATCCTTAAATTTTAAATATTATATTCCAGTTTAAATTGTGCTATGTATATCATTACTTTAAATAAAAACATTCCAATAATTGTTTTTATAGCATACAAATCTTGTTCATAGAGTAAGATGAGAGTCACTCATAACCGTGTAAAAAGGTAATGAAATAAATAATATGAGGAGTGTATTTATTATTTTTCATTCCAAATCAAAGCCCTATATTTTCAACTGCAGAATAAAAGAAGTTGTTTTATAAAATATTTTTATGCCTTTTAAAAATGGTACCCTCCCCCAAATTAACTATGTTCTTCATTAAATCTGAATGTCTATGGATATTCAAAAACTCTTCTGGTGTGTAGCTTCAACAACGCTATGTTATACCTGCTTTCTTTACTGAAGCATTCAAATGTTACAAATCTTGTTTAGCATCTTGAAAAATACCATAATAATAGATTTCCTCATATCTTATCTTGATAAATATATAGCTAACATCAATATCTCACCGATGTTAAATTCAGTTTTATAAGCCAATGATTTAGCCAAATATGAAAGCCAAGAAGGAATAAGAGTTTGCAGCAAATAAATGAGAAAAGGATGACAATAGCTATTAAGCATTGCTTTGAATAAATTTTACTGAGATTCTAGTAAAAGCAATATAAAAAGAATGGTAAACTACAATGAAAGAAATTAAAAATGTCCCATGTAAATGATCAGTGAAGAATTACATTTATATGTCTGATATCACAGACAGAGATTTTATGTATATTGAAAAATATTAAAACAGATAACATAAAGCAACTGTATTAGAAATAGTGCTGTATTTTTCATTAAACATTTCTGAAATGCATTTAGCCTTTTCCATGTAGAAATTAAAGGGCAATTACATATTATACTTTACAATTTATCATTTTTCTGCCTTATTTCTCTTAGGTTTGCATTGTTAAATAAAATGTTTGACATATTGTTTGACATATTCATTAAAAATTTCTTAACCTAAAAACATCTTCATCAAACTAACAGTTAGAAACAAAAAGTTATTGAGCCTATTTTTTTTTATTTATATTCATAAATCAAACAATCAAAATTTTCCTACAAGGTGAAATCAAAATAAAATATTATTTTACTTTTTTTATCTAACATAAGCAGAATGAGACAAATTTATGGCCTTCATTACACACAAATTTAAGTTATTGCCTTATAATACTCTTTTATAATTCGATATACAGTTAATTATATACAGTATACCTTATAATTTTCAGAACTGCTTTGAAAACAATCTTATTAGCAAAAAAAAAAAAAAAAAAAAAAAAAAAAAAAAAAAAGAAACTATGAAGTTAGTGTATGTTACTGAACATCACTATTTCAGTACACATATAATAAATTCAAAGCATATTTGGTAGCCCCTTTTCTGAACATAATAAGAAATTAAATTGACACCATTTGAATTTTCTTAATAATGTAAAAACAAGCCCTCTTCATTTCCAGTTTTGGCTAGGGAATAGGAAATAGTCCAGAGAAGACAAATTTGGTGAACAAAAGAAGCAATAAAACGTCATAACTTTCAGGATGGAGTCTAAAACTCAGCCAGTAACTGACAACTATAAAAATGCAATGTTATGCACAAATTACAAGTAGCCCATTGTCAGACTGTGACAAATTCCATGAATTCCTGAATGTGAATGCTTTAAAATCTTTTAAGTAGAATTTCAGAAAAATATAAACAGTAAATCATTCCTTTAAAATAAAAAACTTTACAACATTGCCTCGATATTGAATTTTCAGACTAATTTTCTTGCATGGGAACAACCTGCACCCTTTCATGCTGAATTTGGCTTCTTTCTTAATTGACATAATCAGAAATACTGTGTTTCCCAAATCACATAAGTTTTCAATAAATATGAATTTGTTGCCTCAAGTTGCACTATTGACTTTATGGGAGCCACAAAGAAAAAATTTAGTTTCCTATATCTTGCATCAAAATGCAATGAAAAGTAATCTCACTTACTCAAATGAGATTCACAGTAAGTTTATAAACACATGTTAATCAGACAGAAAAATTTGACTGTCTTTTTTTTTTAATGCATGAGATGAACAAAGCATGCACAACCACTATATTGAATATAATATTTACAAACATTTTAAATCATTTGAAAATTTGACTGCACTAAAAAGTTGTTATTGTATACCCGTTTCAGAATACAATCCTATGATACATTTATTTTATATAGTAATTTATTTATAAGTTATTATCTAAATTAATATTATAAAATTAAAACCAATTTAATATAATAATTTATTTACAAATAAGGCAGCTGGTTTTGATTTAAGATTTAGTCCAGAAAATTATGTGACATGCTTCACATTTATGTATGTCTATGTACTTATGTAATGTTGTACGTATTCATGTAATATTGACTATTGATAAAGAATAAAAATTAAAATTAAGGTAATTAATTAAATAAGGCATAAAAATTACCAACAGCTTCTTGCACCCTTTCTCGGAGAAATTTTGAATTATTATGCAGATCAATGAATCTTCTTATATCAAAGGGTAGCAAATATGCTTTTGGTTCACCAGTTGTTATCCAGTCAGCAAGTTCCTTTCCTAACCCACCAGCACCTTGGACAGCATTAACATTCATTCCCACAGCAACATACAAATTATCAATCTATAAAAACAAATTTCTTCTTGTGAAAAAATAATAATTTAAATAATTTTGCATCAAAACAGCAGCCTTCCTAAAATAATTAAAAATGGTATTACTTGAATTCGTGAAAAACTTGTCATCTTATTTTTACCTAAATTGTCAAAGACTATTATATAATTTGACCAAATCCTTAATTGCTATACAAGTCTATTTACAAAATGTCTTCCAATGCTACATAGGAAAGCCATGATTTATGGATTCAAAAAAATTAAAAAATAAAATTGTGATACTTTAATTCAGTGGTATCAAACACAAATTGCATGTGGAGCAAATGCACAATCAAAAAACACTGGTGGTTCAGCAATTTTCTCTTCTCAATATGAGAAAAATTTCCAGCACTTTTTTTAAAGAAAATGAAATAAATTATTGACAAAATAAGAAATATTTAAAATAAATGTTATATTTTGCTAACTAAATATTTATCAAAACATATATAAACAATAATGACAACATCACAACGGGAAAAAATTCAAATTTTAATTGTTATGAATTTTGTAAATATATCCATAATTTTAGAGAAATATGTGAAATTGGAGTATCTCTTCTATAATGTAACATGAAATGCCTCAAAAATGGGAAGCTGTGCTGGAAAAATAATGTTACAAGGGCAAGTCTATTTAACAGTGAGATAAATGGCTACCTCACCAAATCCAGAGATAGCACAAAATCGGCGATGGTTTTAACAAAAAAATTTTTTTCTCAAATTTGGTGTAAAATCAAATTTGGCGAGAAACTTGGTGGCACCACTCTGGTCCAATCCGTGTATAACTGTAATTGGTCTGATCTCTATATGTAACTGTAACTGCATATGCCTTCCAGCAATTTCGATAAATCACACAGTGAGGATACATAGAATTCATTCAATTCATTGTTTTCATTGACGCATGTACTGGTAGGCTATTTCTACTTTTCTGTTCCTCTCTCGATTTAAAAAAAGGCCCTTTAAATATTTATTTATTTAAAAAACATTTTTTTCTATCTCTATAATGAATTTAATATGGGCCTCTTATTTATTTGTCTCATCTTCGTTATCTGACCTTTCATATTCATAGAAAAATGTGCAAAACATCTTCTTCAAGTGTCAAATGCTAAATTGCCCTTTGTTTATATACACTTTCTTTACACCTAAGCCTGATTTTTTGCGCGGAGGGCAGAAAGACGTCACAGGTGCAAAACAAGACATCTGTCTACTTTGTCTGTCTGAAGGCAGTGGAAATTTCTAGGCAGATGGAGGAAAACTATATAAGACCAGAGAAAGCATCAGTTCTCAGGTAGGTCAGAGTGTTGAGAGATCTCTGTGCGAGCTTCGCTCTTTAGATGTACTTTGCATTACACCGTATTTAACACTATTCTTAGTAGTTTGAAGCACTAATTACTGATTGTGCTCTGTCATACTGAGAGGAGTTGTACAAGTACTTTTGTGTAAACTTCCAGAACTATAAAGTGTATCTTTCGGGAAAATAAGTTTATTAAGATATCATCCGTTATGTGTGCATTTAATCCATTATAAACTTGTATGCACACAACAATATTTCTTTTCCATTTGAATCTAAGGTTTGGTAACTGCAAGACATTTTTGTTGGTTACACTTTGTGGTTCAAATATAATAATAACAACTAAACATCAAATTTTAAGACTGACAATTTTTTCAAATAATTCTAACATGTTTAATTAATCATTAAATAACTTACTTTAATGTAAACAAAAAATAAACCAATTATGAAAACTTTCTAAGTTTTCAGGGACATGAGGGACTAAATAATAAATTTCCCTTGGGAAAGAAATAATAAATATGAAAATAAATAAATAACATGGAACAAATAATAATAACAAATATAAATAAATACTTGGGCCAGATAACTTCAGAATATATAATAACAACCTAATCCTCTTTCTCTTGTTTGTTAAATTTTTCCTTCCTGCATGAACAAAAATACATGTGTTCATATGTAAATAATCGTGAAGTTCTTTATTTCTTTCTATAACATGACAAACAACATTCTTATTATAGCATGATTGTATTCAAATTCTAATAAAATTTGTAGCCTTGGAGAGAAATTCCTAGGAATTATCTTAATCACAGACTGTACACATTCATCAGTCAATTAGGTTATTTTTTTATTTTCTACTACGAAAAAAGCTGTTCACATATAAATGTTTATCCAAACAAAGTGATTATTCTTAGTGCAAAAATTCATAGCTCAGTTTATTTATTTTTTGACAAGTATGAATAAAAGTCAATAAAATCTTCAAATATCTGAATCCGATTTATATCATAATGTGAATTAATTAGCTGCATTTACAGATGTTCTGGTATGTTATTCACGTTTGTTTTCAAAGAAAGTGAAAATCATATAAGTTTCCATTTCAAATAATTAAAATCTTGAAATCTTAGTAGCAAATACATAGTTGAAATAGACTTAATATTTCTTTGCCCCTTTCCTTCAAATACCCAATATGAAAAATAAAGAAATAATAATAATAATAATATATATGTAATGTTTTTAGTTATTCAAACACATCGTGGGCGAATGGTGAGGATATTCCATTACACGTTCTGGCAGATGTTTGACGAAGCTGGGGTGACTGAAACACGGAGAAAAATGATGACTCAGGACTTTTCACTTTTAACAGCAAGCATATCTTTATTTTAATTTAGAGCAGTTGACTTTTTACAGATGAATTTAATCAAATAACTTATTCAGTAATTGAACTATTAGATATGACTGACTTTAATACGTTATAACGTTATAACAAAGAAAGAGGAGCATAGCGGAAGCATTAGCACAACGAAGGCGAGAAGGCATTTGTGTAGGAGAACTTATGACGCAGCATTTATATGAAAGGTTATGTAACAGAGTAGCTTCTAGAAAAATGTAGAAAAACTTATGATGCAGCATTTATATGAGGAGGTTATGTAATAGGTGCGAATGTTCTAGAAGGTAGGAATTTCTTTAATGTTTTTATGATAAACGTTGAAGGCTCTCACCTTATGAAAAAATACATTTTTTTAATCTAAGTATTTTTATTTTTTCATAAAATGGAGTGTGTTTTTAATATTCATATGGAATGACAGCAGTTCCAAAAAAGCCAGTTGCCTCTACAGAAGGAACGGAGGTCTTTTCTACAGTAAATGCTAATTTGGCAAATCTTTTGGCCACTGGTGAAGAATATTAAATACCAGTTTGCTCAACTGATAAACCAATATGATGGAAATACTAGTATTTAGATAAAGTTGTGGAGTCTTCAAGTTTTGTAAAGAATAAGTAAATTTTAAATGTCTTAATAATAGTGAAAAATTTGAAATTGTGTTTATGAATGATGTTTTACAAAATTTTTATATTTTAAAATGCCTTCCTTGAAAAACATAATTAAATAATATGGAAATTTGCATCTTAAATTGTATTATTATAGAAATATTTTCATCAACAAAAATTGGAAACACTTTTATTTGAGCATTTACTTTGTGTAAATATTTGAACTTTTACCGTGTGGAACTATCAAGAACTTTACAAAATTTCATTGGACATTCTTATCTCCGAACACTAAAATGTGCAATTGTTTTAAAAGAGTGCAGTGTCTAAAATTATTATTAAATTCAAAATTTTATGACTTTCAATGAAATGTCAAAACTGATTCAAAATATCGGTCAAAATTTTATGACAATAATTTTTTGTTTAAAAGTTGCTATGTTTGTATTTTCAAAATTATAACTTTAACATTTTGCTGCTCTAATGCTTTTTCTTCCACCCTGCTCACCCAACTTTTCTTTTGAAGGGGGGGGATATGTAAGATATAACAAAATATGATAGCTGTTTCAAAAAAATAATTGACGACCTCAAAATTAACATTCTAAATTTGGTAATCTGCCCTTAAATTCATCTCTTCTCACATGTTCCAGACTTTTCTATCGTATGTAACATTTTAATGCAGATGCCTCTTGTCCAATCAAAATTAATTCTGTGAACTGAAACTTTCCCACTCCCAGCCTTCTTCCTATGAAAGTACTATAACCTTGCCTTTTTCCGCATTAGCTGTCCTGCTGGTAAGATGCTTTTCATCCATGCTGCTGCCGCTTACTTGCTTAAGATGACGTAGTACTTCAAAATGGGAGTTATTCTATTCAAATATTATTAAGAAATATCTTGTCTGAAAAAGGATGATTTGATATGCATGGAAAAAATAAAGATTGTGATTTTTCAAGATATGTTGTCCTAAATTGCATCATCATGCTTTCTACTCTGCCAACTTCAAGCCACTACTGTCTTCTCGGTCATCTATGCAGTATCGTAAGCTGTTGGGAGGTCCACTGCTTTCATCTATGCATTTGAAATCATTATATATATACATATTTTTTGTTATTCATACTAGTTATTTTATTAAGATTATATGGCTATTTGATATTGTAGTAAAAATTACACACACACTCAGTCATATAATAATAACAATAATACAATATATAGGTAATATTGTTTCCTTTACAACTCAATAGATGAGTTAGGAGGAAAGATAAGAGCATACCAGTACAAAGTTAGCAGGGGTTGCAAACTTATCAAGTATTTTCTAGATTTTTATATTCAAAAAGAAAATAATGAACACCCACAAACAATACATAGTTTAATTACTAAATAATTTGTATAACTGCATAGTTATGAGATGTGACTCTATAAAAACAATATACAACCAGATCCACCTTTTGGTATGGTGCAATGATATGTGTTATCAAGTTTTATAACTTGATGAAAAGTTTTAAATCACAATCTCTTATTTTAATATGCCCAATATCAAACAAAATATAGAACTTTTACATCTTTAAGAACTAGAAGACAACTCAGTTCTGATAATACAGTCTTTGCAGGTAAAATTAACACCAAATCAAGATCACCCTCGCTTCTTTAAGTCTGCAGAAATTACTTAAAATAGTAATCAGTCACAGGATTTGAAATAACATGAAAATGACAGATTACAATATTTTTATTTATTACCTCTGCAGTTTCACCAAGAATCCAATGACCATCAGGTGTAAATGTATCAGGTCCACTAACATATCTTTGAATGTCCACTTGATTTAAAATTGGCACTCTGATGCAAGCTTCCTCATATATAGGTTCTAAAAAATATATAAATATGTTTACATCCTTTTAAAATTATGTACAACATTATACAAATATATTAAACAAAAAAGAGTAACAACAAAAAACCTATCATATGAGTAACTAATCTTTATGTTGATAATGAAATGCTGTTTGGCTTTAGTGCTTTATAATCTCTATCAGATGTCAGACACATGATAGAAAGTTGTAGGGATAATATACAAATACTGATTTAGAAGCCAAACAACAAAATCAGCGTTATACTTTCAAATTTTTCACAGGACTAGTTTTGATGGTTTTACCGAACCATCATCCTCAGCTGCAAAAATGTAAATGAACGAGGTAAGATATAATGATTAGATAAGATAAGATAAGAAAGTCTGCACAGGAAACAATTTGCTGGCACCATCTGTTGATGAAACCAGAACTAAAACATAATTTCTTTAAAGGCTGAAGGCAAAGATGGATTGGAATTAGGGTCCTTAACTAGAACAGAAAGTTTTTTTTGAATGTGAAATGCCTCTAGAAAATCCAGTCACCAATGGAAGATGTTTTTTGAATATTATTCAGCCTTTAAAGAAATTATATTTTAGTTCTGGTTTCATCAACAGATCGCGCCAGTAGCTTGTCTGCTGTCCAGGCTTTCTTATCTTATCTTATCTAATCATTATATCTTACCTCGTTCCTTCACCCTTTTGCAGTTGAGGATGATAGTTCAGTAAAACCATTGAAACTAGTCCTGTGAAAAATTTGAAAATATGACGCTGATTTTTTGTTGTTTGGCTTCTAAGTTAATAGTTGTTCAGCGTGTTATTGTATCTTAATTATACAAATACTGTTAAAGACAGCTGCATATATTAAAGTTTCAAATGTAAATTTCTCAAAAATATCTATTATGGTACAAAAATAAATGCTGGATTAAAATTGTCTGTTTCAGTAATGCTAAAATTTAATACCTATATTTAATAAAATTCAATCAATCAGACTTCTAAATTGAAATTCTATTTGGTATTCTAATTTTTGAAACATTCTATATATATATTATTCTCCTCTGTGAGAAAACAGTTAAACTTATTTTAACAACTTTTTTCAATATCAATGTCGCATATTGCAGACCTCCCCCTCCCACAATGATGTTTAGAAATATATGCAATATTTCACTACTTGGAATCTCTTTATTGAGGGTTCATATAAGAATTTAACTTTCATATATCTTTATTGGAAATTAATCAAAGATAGAAACCTACGTTGTTTCATTTCCAACCAGCAGTCTATAACCAATCATTCAAGAGATATTTAGGTGCCATCTGTCATCTATTGATTGAGCCATCTGTATGCAATTTTTTTAAAATTAAAATGGCTATAAGCTGTATTTCCTTAAACACTGATTTCAGATGTATACTTTCAGTTACAAAATTTAAAAAAAAAATAAGATAGAAAAAATTATGAAAACAATTTAAACAATTTAAATGAACAGCTACTTTAAATGTGAAAAATAATACAGTCAAAAGTCGTTAATCCGGACTCGTCGGAACTTCGGCGATTCCGGATTATCGATTTTTCCGGATTATAGATCATCAGTTTAAATCTGGTAAGATGGCATGCAAAAATTACAAAATTAAAAATATGAAACCGTAATTTATGAAATAAAGAACAATTATGATCTAAAGGGTATCAAAATTTACAAAAAGAAAAAACTTAATATTTATTTGTTTACTTTATTAAACATTTCCTTCAATGTAAGTTGCTTCGTTTCATGTGATAATACTTTCTCTTTAATTCTATTAAACAGACATAATTTCTTGTTTAGTTACAAAGTTCCGCTGTTCAAGTCCTATAATTGCTGTGTTGAGAATACCGACTAATTTGTCAATCGAAATGTTTTCGTTTTCAATAACCTCTGGGTCACTTTCTTCACTATCCGAAGCGAATTATAATGACGAGGAACTTGATTTAAATCATATCAAAGAGGGAGTACATCGAGATGAAATACTAAACTTAGTACCGAATTATAATCCAAATAAAATAAAAACATCTGCTCTGAAGATAAGGATAGTGTTGACAGATCAACTTCCAATCCGCAGTGTGAAATTGATAAACAGATTTCGGATTTCAAAACATACTTTCGCTTTGTAGATACAAATTACATATTAGTAAATATATATTGGAAATTCTATTTGACATAATCTTTCTAATCTATCATAATCTAATAATGACGTTTCTGCCCCCCCCCTGCCGCAGAGCAGCGTGAAATTGATAAACAGATTTCGGATTTCAAAACATACTTTCGCTTTGTAGTAAATATATATCGGAAATTCTATTTGACATAATCGAAAGTTCAAGCTTACTTTTGTAAAATTGCTCTAACAGTCTGCAAAAAATAATAAGTCGGATCCAATTCGAAGATTAAGGAACAACGCAATCTGCAACATTAACTGAATTAGATAACTTTAGCTTAGCGTATAACTCCGTTACACATTAAACGCGCATGCACACAAACATATTCGCAGCCGTAAGGGTCTTACGCGCTCTCGTAAACGCGACGCATGCGCAGAAAGTTTGTAGCTTTGAGGTCCGGATTATGGGTGTCCGAATTAACGACTTTTGACTGTAATAACATAATGAATAATAAATATTCATATCATCTTCAGAGATAAAATTCATGTCAGTAAATTGTTCATTATATTAATAATTAAGGAAAATATATCCTGAGATTTCTTTGCAGATGTAACAAACTCTAGACATTTTTTCAGAAACCTAGATGGGAACCATCCTCATCCGAGGTACTATGTCTGCCCAAACAGCAGAGCAGAGTGTTCTACATTGTGTCTGTGGGAAAGAAATTGGAAGCTCCACCATTGAAGTAAAGATATGGAGATTTTGTCTGCTGAGGAGAGGTGTGACTGATGCCATTATGGCCCATGTTTGATATCTCTGAATGTGTAATTAATAAATTTATTCATGTTTTTAAATGTGTGTAAATTACAATTTATGCTCGTGTCTCTGCATTATGATAGTTATGTGATTAAAAGACTGATGCATCACTTTGGCTATTTTTCTTGTCTGTAGGATATTCATGATGTCACAGACTAAGGAAATAACATGTTTAATGATAGTTCCACTGAGACTAGCATGATAAGAGATGGAAGACATATGTTCTCCACAATATTTATTTCCAGACCTGAAAAAATAATTTAGTTAAATACTGCTTATGAATTAAAAATCAATTTGCAAACAGGAATAGCACATCAGTGCATAAAAGTTTTAAACACTCAAAGTGTTATTCTCAAAGTATCTAATGAGATATTTTTCTTTTGAAAAATAATACCTTTTGAAATTTCTTTTCTTTCTTTTGAAAGTAAAACACTTTCCTGTTAATAAGGAGCCCATCAGTGCATTGATGTTTTAAGTGTTGCAAAACATAATATCATGGTATAATCTAAACTGTATATTTTTGTGAACACATGGAAGCTCACCTGTGGAATATTGAAATTTAAATTCTATTTCAAGTCTTCATCCTGAAGAAACTCGATGTTAGATGCTTTCAAAAGAAATTATTTATTAAATTCAGGTATAACTATTGAGAACTTATTACTGTTTGGAAAAAAAAAAAAAAATTGATAAGAAACATATTTGCAAAGAATGTTTATTCTTCTTTGAATTCTAAATGGGAATGAATTTAAAATGAGTGATGTTCTTTTAATTTTTTATTTATAATGTGAAAAATTTAGTAAGAAAGAAAAAAATTGTTTTTAATGTATCTCTGATATTTTTTGTGCATACGATTTGTTAATAATGGTTTCTATTTATTAAGTTTTTATTTGTTCAATGGTTACTTTAAAAAAAAAATGGCATATTTGGGGAAAACTAAAAAAAGCGATTTATTCCTAGCTGTGACAGAACTTGGGCAAGCAACTTCGATAGATATGAAAGTAATAGATTTAAAACAAATAATAATAATTAGTAAAAATTATGAGAACGAGTTTGTTGAAAATTTGTTACAAAGTGAGAGGATAGAAAAAGAAAACTTGAGAAAAGCTGCAGTTAGAACTAGAATGCCTTAAACCAAAACAGAACACTGAATCTTTTAGGTCTAGGGGTGAAGCAGCATTTAATTAAATTCCAAATGTTTATGCCCAAGTTTAATTTAAAAAACTGATGATATTAGTCTATTCTTAGAGCCTTTTGAGAGACAAGCTAAAGTTCTACAATTGCCCAAGGATATCGCATTGGTGTCCTTCTGTTTGAGGTAAGTAATATAATTGCTAAGAAGCCTGAGAAACAGGCTAGAGATTACAAACATATTAAAGGTATAAGGGAACTCGTACACATTAAAACCTTTAAGATCTTCAACTATTTGACTATTGCAAGAATTGGGATAACTTTGAAACTTATTAACTTTAAAGATAACTTTAAAAGCAATTAATGTCAACTTTTTACAGCTGATTACATAATATAGCTGCTTTCCGAACTAGTAACCAGAAAGTTTGTGTTGCCACAAATATTTTCATAATTTAATCTGTTTTTTTGACAAAGTTTTTTATGCATTCACGTCATGTTTCCACCTTGTGCACAAAGTTTAAAACATTCTGTTGCATAATTTAATTCCATATTTAATACATGGCTTTTATAACATTTGGAAATTACTGTGAAACAAAAATGCTAATAATTTCATGTTAACTTTTTATTTTATAAAATGTATTGTTGAGTTTATAAAATGTATTTTATTAAAAAAATCTGTACAGTTTTCGTGCATAAAATTTTTTAATATTAAAATATACATCAGATTTTTGGTTTAGTTAGAAGGTCGTGTCCATATATAAAGAATTCCATCAAATTCCAAGTATGTACCATTAGCCATTTTTAAAATATCATGCACGCAAGGTGGAAACATGACCTGACCGCATAAAATATTTTGTCACAAAGCAGATTAAATTATAAAAATATTTGTGGCAACACAAAATTATAAAAATATTTGTGGCAACACAAACTTTCTGGTGCTTAAAAAATTTAAGTCTGCAGAAATTTCAACATGTTAATACTCAGAAAAATCTGGATTCTATGTGGTATGATTTTTTTTTATCATGAACTTAAAGACATTTTTCATCATCAGAACATGATGCACACTAATGAACCCTGCTTCACGTGGAGAGCTTACAGCCAAGTATGCACATGGTTATTATCAGTGAAGCTTTATTTATCTAATTGTGAATTTCGATGAAAGAAGAATTAGACTGTGAACCTGTTTTTCTTGGTTTGGTGATATCTACTAATTTTTAGATCCAAAAATTTACACAATATGCTATGAAAGAGTTTTAAACAATTCCATTTTTTCTGTTTTATGCCAGCAGACAGGAACAGACACATTTCTTTTTTAGAATGATAATGTACTCACTCAGAAAGCAAAGATCTTAACTGGGTTTTTGAGGAAATGGTAATGAATATATTCAACTCTCTGGCCTCAAATCCTGATCTCAGTCCAGCTGAACTCTTTGAAATGAGTCTGAATCCTAGTATCAAGAGAGACCAAATTTACCTTAAGTTCTCAACCTTTTTGCCCCTAAGAGCACATTCTAAAATATCTGTTGGACAGCAGGCAGCATTTACCTTTTCAAGGCGAATTTATAATATGATAGAATTATTAATATATGCACATAAAAAAAAGACATCGGTTGCATTTCGCTTTGTGCTGGTATCTGTGTTGGATGCAATTTATATTTTTATATTTCATTAAAAATGAGAAAACTCAGAAAGCAAAGATATTGACTGGGTTTTGAGGAAATGGTAATGAATATATTCAACTCTCTGGCCTCAAATCCTGATCTCAGTCCAACTGAACTCTTTGAGATGAGTCTGAATCCTAGTATCAAGAGAGACCAAATTTCCCTTAAGTTCTCAACCTTTTTGCCTCTAAGAGCACATTCTAAAATGTCTGTTGGATGGCAGGCAGCATTTACTTTTTCAAGGTGAATTTATAATATGATAGAATTATGAAAAAAGACATCGGTTGCATTTCGCTTTGTGCTGGTATCTGTGTTGGATGCAATTTATATTTCATTAAAAATGAGGAAACTTTCACGTACAATTTAATTGAAAACTAAAACATTTTTATAGTGATTGCACAGTGGCGAGCACACGTTAAAATGTTCAGTGGGCACCATGATGCCTGCAGACATATAGTTGCCCTGCCTTAAGCCAATACAGACTTGCTCATCATGCTACAGGAAGAATGGCATAAAATAGCAGCAAAAATGTACAGTCTTCCTAGGAAAATCCAATAGAATATCTTTCTAGGAAAGAAAAGGCTGTGATAGAGGCAAATGGTAGACCCACATTGTTCTGAAAACTATCCGAGCTTCAGGTTAGATTAATTATTTAAGGTGAGATACGTAAGGGCATCTGCTAAGAGAAGGGATAGTTTCATGGAAGACTAAGAGAAACTAGCTTGTCTTCACACGAGCCAAGGGGAAACAAACAAACAAACAAACAAACAACAACAACAACAACAGAAAAAAAAAAAAAACACTATGAAAATGTCCATGCAGCCAACCAACATATGAGCTTTAAATAAACAAATTACTATGGATGCTTGGTTTGACAGTGTAATGTAGAATGGGTATCAAATGATACCCCATCATTTAAAAATTTTCAGCTCTCCACATATGAAAAACTCAGTCTAAATCTAATATATTTATTTGATGATGGCTATGTATGCTGACATCTTTAGTAATTAATCAAATTTTTAAGAATGACAACATCACGATTGCATAAAATATATTCAAATCTACTTACTAAAATAGTTCCAGTCAGATGATAATTCTTGAAAAGAAAAAGTTTCGGGTATTTTTTCCGTAAATAATGGCCTAGCTTCCTCCCGAAAACCACCAACAAGGAATCCATTATCATATTCACGACAGTACAATCTAGCATCATAATCGCGAAGAACTGTAATATATTTAAAAAAAATATTAAACACTTTTTTATTCAGAAAAATTGGCTTATCTCATGATTTGAAGGTAAGTAATACTTATAATAAAATACTTTTTTTCTGCAAAAACTCTTACAATTTGACATATATTTTCATGCTAAAAAATATGAGAGTTTACACTTTTAATATCAGGATTTACTTATATAAAGGCATGTGTTTTGAATGTACGACAATTTTGAAGTACAGTTTTTGAATAAAAAAAAGCTATGCTAAAGATTTACAGTTTCTCGCAAATTAAATCAAAATTTCCATTAGGCTCAGGATATTAAAGATTTCAAAATTTAACAATTTTTCATTTTGTCGACTTTAGCAACTGAGTGGTTTTTACATTTCAACGAAAGAAGAAACAATTCTCGTTAAATCTGCAACAACAAAACTCAAAAACATTTATTGATACATAAATTCACAATAATTTATTTTTAAAGATGTTATTGAAAAACCTAAATTACACTTACTTGGTGTTGTAGGAGTTACACCAGGAACTGGTCTAGTAATAGCATATGCATTTTCAGCAGGATGTACAGGAACACGAAAAACAGGAATACAATTTAGACCAAGAGGTCTAGTCCACTACAAGAATATTTCCCTAAGGTAAGTACGCAACTGAAACTTCAAAATCACATCCAATCATACATGTAAAGAAATATACAGTGAACTAAATACTACAATAATCGTAAAAGTTTACGAAAAAATAGGTACATTTTCAGTTAAAAAAAAAAAAAAAAAAAGCACACAAATTTTCTTAAATACTTGTTTTTATCAAAGTAAGAAAAATAAATAATTTTTTAATTATTTATTTTCAAAAATAAATTTAGTACATATAATGGGATTAATGCTTTTTTTAACAGCAAAAGTTTAAAATTTTTTAGTAATAAAGCTAAAAATCAAGCTTTTTAAATTTTAATAAAACTTTATAAACAAACCATATTTTTTGTACATTTGCTTTACAATTTTTCTTTATTAACATTATACAAAACCTAAAATAATTTATTATATAGTTATATTTAAAAATATAGTCTGAAAAAGTTCTAGACATTTGCAAATCTTTTAAATTAAAAAGATTTGATAAATATAGTATTTACAGCCTGTTCTTATACAAAAAGTTTATGATTTATGAATACCACTGCTTATATTCACTATTTTAAACTATGAAAATTTCTATATTAGGAATATATAAATAGTTGCATTGTGTGAACTCGTACATATATTATGTAAGAAAATGACAAAGAATTGTAACATACCATTCCAGTGCATAATACTAAGTATTCACAATTAATGACACCTAAATTAGTTTTGACACCTGTTACTTTTACTCCATTTGTTAATATTTCTAAGACTTTACAGCCTTCAAAATATTTAACACCTAAAAGAAATAGAATATGGATTTATTATTATCAGGTAGCAATTTGATATCTGGAATAAAACTTATGCAAATGTCACCACTGAATTATATATATATAAGAAAAATAAACATCACAATAATTAACTCTCTTACAAAAATGTAATTATGGGTACATCAACACACACACACACACATATATATATATTTAAATTAACAAACAGATGTGCACATATGATAAAAATCTTCTTAATGGTTGTAATGACAAATTCTAGAATTCCTGTATTTTAACATTGTATTTCATGCATTACTTATAGTTAAATTAGATATATTTTTAAGTTATATTTTATATTAAATTAGTAGATATTATGAAGATATAACAGGATATAAATGTTGATGATATTAAAAGTTAATAAACTAAATCATAGATATATAAATATAGTCTGCCAGTTAAGAACTACCATGAAAACAAATTTTGCATACAAGACATTTAATTCTATAAATACAGAAAACAATATATTCACATTACACATGGGAATTTTGAATAGATAAAATAATGTTTATATTCACATTATGCATAAAATGTTCAATTAATTAAAATGAGAAATTGTTCCTTTAATCTCAAAAATAACACCATACATATGCTTTCTATTCCCCCCCCCCATTTATATAGTCTAAACTAGAAGTTCAACATTTGAGGGGAAAAAATGCTATTTGACAAATAGAGAAATATTAACTATGTAACTAGATGTAACCTATTCAAATTGGTAGCATGTTTTGCATAAAAAGTTTCTAATTTTCCTCAATTAAATCAATTGATTTAATTTCTGCACAAACTTAAATTTGAAGGGAAGAAATTTTAAATCCTGTAATTTGAATGCCTAATATAGAAGCATACTTTGATACAGAATCACAAAGACTGTTTTGACAGTTCACATATATTTTTTTATTACTGAATTGGTTGACTTAAAGTTCTCTATCATAATAATACAATATCTACAATTAGAACTTTTGACTGATAGATACTTAAAAATGCAAATGAAATTTTCATTACTTTTGAGTCACTACTAAAAAAAATCTAGGCCACAAAAGCCTGGTGCTACATTTCCACAGTTTTACAGTAAATGGAATAATATTCTGTGGACCACTGGAGGCCAATGATAATGTTATCCTTTCTCCCAAATATTCAGCCAAACTAAAAAATTTTAAAAGCATACATTTTTTAGATGCTCTTGACTACATTAAAATTTAGATTTTTAAAAGCAAATACAATAATCAAATGTATACATTTGTGTTTCTTGTAAATTTTATTTTTTATAACTCATGGTGATTGAAATAGAAATATTTCTTGCAAACAAATCAAATTTTTCATAAATTTTATCAATAAATATTTTTTCATTCAAATCAATAAAAAAAATTTCAAATCAATTTTGGAAAGTTTTTTAAATTAACATAAAAATATACATAATTACAATAATCAGAACAGAAACATGCCAAAGTGAAACTTAAAATTAGTAAAGAAACAACCTTATATTTGTCTAAATGTATGGCCAAATAGAGTACAAAGTCCAAAATCTGGATGTCCATTATCAGGAATGATCTAAAATCCAAACCTCAAAACCAACAACGTCTTTCTCGTAGGCTTTACGCATGCGCATTTGATTTTCCCCTCCGCGCATAATAAAACATCTGGAGAGTTCCGATTCTTAATTTCACTTCGACACTAAATAAAATACCTTGTTATTGAAGAAACAATCATTTTAGCATAAATTTGTACGATCAGTAATTCGGCTTAGTTGCTGTGTATCTGCTTTGCCACACATCTCAAACCGAAACATTCCACATAGATACATCGTTGATCTGACGCTAACCTGGTGAATTATTATTAATTTTACTTTCCTTTCATCACCACATGTTTATCAAAACATGACAACTCGAGTAATAAATCATGTAGCGATGCCTAAACAATTTTTTTATGTTAGCAATTGAATAATAAAGTATAATAATAATGAACCTTAATGTATGGTAACCTTTTATGTTGACATTACGCTTGGCGGATTACAGATTTAAGTTAAATGCGCTAAAAAATGTTGACGAGGAAAAATTTAGCCAAAATTTCTTTCCATATGCTAAAAATAGATTTTGTTGATGATACTCATAGACCCAAAGATTACATTTAGGGCTATTTGAATTAAGAATAACTGATTTGTTATTTACCAGAACTAAATCGCAGAATTTAAGACCCCACAGAGACTGCATCAGGCAGTAAGATATCTAGCGCTGGCCCTCAATAAGGCTTAAGTATATGTAGGAATTTATTTATTCAGAACTCAGACATGCCTTACGTGCAAGAAATAGACATAAGTATAATTAATAACTAAACTAATACAATTCAGGCTTAATTGTCTCGGTGTGGGATAGAAGCAAGATAAAATTTAACGGAACAACTTGTTGTTAGTCGCCAAGCTCATGATGCATAGCCAAATATGTATAGTGAAGGATAAATTTGATGATGATAGCCACTCATTTTAAAGATTTTTGGATATCGCAAAACAAAGATGAAATTTTACAGTTAACGGATTTTGTAAAGAAATGTGGAGAAGCGGTAATAAATGAAGATGATATAAAAGAAGTTTTTCATTGTGATGACAATGCTTCTCAATCATAAATCAATTAATGAATGGTGAAATCTGTACTATGGTTCAAGATCCAGAAAATACCACAGCCAATAGTGAAGAAAGTGACAGAGAAGTTACTGAAAATGAGGAAATTTTGATTGACAAGTTAGCCGGAATTCTCGAAACAGCAGTTAGAGGACTTCAACAATGTAACTGAACAAGAGATTATGCCTGTCTACAGAATTAAAGAGAAAGTATTAGCACAAAAAACAAAGCAACTTACATTGAAAGAAATGTTTAATAAGGTAAACAAATAAATATTAAGCTATTTTTTTGTAAATTTTGCTACCCTTTAGATCATAAATACTTTATTATTTCATAAATCACGATTTCGTACTTTTAATTTTATAATTTCTACATGCCATCTTCCTAGATTTAAACTGATGATTTAATATCTAGAAAAATCCCAAATCCGGAATCGCCGAAGTCCCGACGAGTCCGAATTTCGGACCTTGTACTGTACAAGGTTGTTTCTTTACTTGTTTGTTATTTTATAATTATACTAATTAATAAAATAACATAATGAAAAAACTTACCTCTGTCTTGAGATATTTTTGCTAAAGTGGTACATACAGCTAAAGGATTAACAACTCCATCACTAGGAACCCATATACCACCCTGGCAAAAAAAAAAAAAAGCAATTTAATAGTGAAATTTCAGACTACTACATTACATAGAAAGTGACAACACTATAAATTTGTTTACAAAAATAATCTCTTCTAAATAAATAGCAGTTCTTTTCTTTCAAAAGCTCAGGAAATTATAAAATCTCACACGTATCTTGTCAAATATGCAAGTATCCCTATGACAAAACTGGCAAAAATTTAGACAGCATTTAAAATTACTGAGAAAAAATTTAAAAGTCCAAAATATAAATATTTAAAATTAATGATTTTTATTCTGAATGCTTTATTTGGGAACATTACTCTTCATCACATAAAGTAAAGAAGTATTTACTTTATGTGATTGGTAGTCTCATTATACCAATTCTGCTACAAAATAAAATGCTTTGTACAGATTTATGACATAGACCAATTTTCATATAAATGATGGCACTAAAATTATATTCTGGTAATTCTGTAATCACCAGCTTTCATTTCAGTATGAACAAATTTATATTTGTTTTATATTTAATTTAAACTTAAATATAAATAGCATTCATAACTACATCATGTATTTCAATGTCTTGCTTGTATGCAAAGATTTAAAATTTTAACTAGAGACACTAATATATCATAACATGAAGCAGCTCTTCACTCACATGACTATTAAAACACATGTCTATTTAAGTATAACATGATTGCTATATCAATACATAATACCAAATAGTTCATTTGCTGAAGCATCCATAAAATTAAACCACAGATTTAAAGATATTATTTATCAATAAATACTTCGGCTTTTTTCACTGGTTTCTTAAAATGTAGGATCATTTAGGCTTATTTTGGAACACAAAACAGAAAAAATTATTAACACCCCTGCCAAGATTTAAACTCTGGACCTCCTGATCGCTAGCCGGACATGCTTCTCATAATACTACGATGGCACATAGTAAGGAAGAAGAAAATTCCTTTTTAAAAAGTGAATTTTTAAAACATGAAAAATTCTCCCCATTTTTAAAAAGTAACTTAAGAAGGAGGAGACTGAGTCACCAAATCCAGATGGTGACAAATTACTATTCACCACGATTGTCCAAACATCTCCAATCACACGATAATGATTTTTTTCTTTTTTTTTTTTTGCAAGTAAGCATTGTTGCTTTTGACAACTTATTAAATTCCTTTGTGTAACAAATTTATGTATAACCTTGTATACACATAAAGATTTATTTACAATTTATTTTGCAAAGAGGAAATAAAATTACGAACTGAATAAAAATATTATTTTTTTCCTCTTGCACCTTAATGGAAAAATAATGGCAATAAAAGTATAAACAAATTTAGCATATTTAAAAAAATACAACTAATTATTAATTCTATTAGTTATAAGCATGTTTGGTTAATCTTCCATAAGTGGTGCGAGCACGAAACTTGGCGAGAGCTTTTATTTGGCGCGATTTTGATTTAGTTGAGGTTTCCGGATATATGTTTTCTTGTGGCAAAACATAGAGCTTTATTTCAGTGATTGTAATGAGTGTGAGGTAAGTGTAGTCAGAAGATTTTTCTTAAATTTAATTTTGAAATATTGTGTTTATTTTAAAAAGTTTTACTGTTTAATACTTGCAGGAGGTTAAGCTGCTGTTGGTGGGAGAATGTTGGATTTCAGATGATGTGCAATTTATAATTAATGAATGATGTTTTCATTTAATTTTCCTTAATGTTTTTCAGGCCTGCTAATTTTTTTTTAAAGTTTTGTTTCTTGCATGTGGCTACCAAGAGATGTAGAATGTTTACAGTGTTGAGTGAAAGTGGTTCAGTGTATTTAATTCCGCAACAATAGTAACTTGTATATTTTAGTGAGTTTATGATGTATCCATTGTCAGTGAATTTGAATATATGGCTCTAGTGTAGAATTGGGTGCCCCTTCGATTAGCGACACGTTTTTAAAAAAATTTGGCGAAGAAACCTCATTTATGGTTACCATGATAGTTTTAAATTTGTTTTAGCTTCCTAATTTTTTTTTAATGAAAATAGATTTATGTGTACATGGACAAATTTAAAGCAGTGCGCAATGCCTAGTTTGTGCAATTCTGGGATGTTTTTAAAGTGAAAACAGATTGATGTGTACATGGACATAGAGTTTGTGCAATTCTTTGACTTTTTACTTTGGTTTTCTGTAGCGGCCATCTTGAAATTTTGCCTTCCTGCCGCCGATCTTGGCATAAAAAAAGAATCGCCAAACAACAAGGAGCACCCAATTGTAAACGTTTAATGAATATATTTACTAGGTTGACAATTTTTTGATGTAAGTGAAGAGACATTTGGTAAATACAGTCAAAAGTTGTTAATTCGGACACCCATAATCCGAAATGATCTATAATCCGGACTCAAAGCTAAAAACTTTCTGTGCATGCGCCGAGTTGACACATGCGCATAGGCGTTTACGCGTGCGCATAAGACCTTTACGACTGCGCATAGGCATGTGCGCAAGCGCAGAATACGTTTTTGCGTGCACGTTTAATGTATAACGGACGGTATAAGCTAAAATTATCTATTTCAGTTAATGTTGATGATTGCGTTGTTCCTTAATCTTCGAATTGGATGCGGGCTTATTATTTTTTGCAGACTTTAAGAGCAATGTTATAAAAGTAAACTTGAACTTTCGATTATGTCAAATAGAATTTCCGATGCTGGAGCTCCCAAAGGATCTACAAAACGAAAGTATGTTTCGATGTCCATCAAACAAAAAGTGGAATTGCTGAAAAAAATGGATAAAGACATGAAGAAGGTGACAGAGAGGTTAGTTGAAACGAAAAAATTTCGATTGACAAGTTAGTCGGTATTCTCGGCAACAGCAATTACGGACTTGAACAGCGGAACTTTGTAACCGAACAAGAAATTATGTCTGTTTATAGAATTAAAGAGAAAGTATTATCACATAAAACAAAAGCAACTTAAAACAACTTACATTGAAAGAAATGTTTAATAAAGTAAACAAATAAATATTAAGCTTTTTTTTTTTTTTGTAAATTTTGATACCCTTTAGATCATAATTGTTCTTTATTTCATAAATTCCGGTTTCATATTTTTAATTTTAGAATTTCTGAATGCCATCTTACGAGATTTAAACTGATGATCTATAATCCAGAAAAATCGATAATCCGGAATCGCCGACGAGTCCGGATTAACGATTTTTGACTGTATTATTTTTTTACTTTTGCAGTAATTTAGTTTTGCAATTTTTTGTTTCATATTTGTGACTTGAGTTTTTTGTAGTTTATTTTAAATTTATGTTTTAGTTTGTAGTAATTTATGCTTGTGTTGTATTTAGTGTCATTTTTGTTTAGCGATAGTAGATTTTACATTGCTGTTTCTTTTTGAAAGTGGCAATTGTGAAATGAAATGGAAATGTAAAGTTTGACATCGTAAACAAAAAGAGTTTGGTGCCAACTTACCCTGTTTATGGAAGATTAGCCGAATTTTTAATAAAGAAGTAAAGATTATTTATACTTACTTCCAAGTCTTCAACTTTTGCAAAAGGATGATAGTTTGGAATATCTTTGGGTTCTAAAATTTCGCATTTAATTCCTTGAATTCTGTTAAAAAATAATTTTTTTTTTCAGGAATATGTACAAGGAACATGGTAAACATGATAAGTGCAAGATTTTCATGCACTGCTTACCGATATGTAATTGTAGTGTTTACTGATATGTATGAACGGAATTTGATATTTGCCTTCTACAGAATAGAAAGCAGTGGATTTTTTCCAAAGTTATGGGATCATACTTTAAAAAAAGCATGCATTAATGGGCACAATATAGTCAGCTGAATGTGGTTGATAAGATAGGAACAGATTTGAATACTTACCTGCAGAAAGTTTGTACTCATATCATTCTAAACAGAGCTTCAAGTAAAATCGGGGGCTCTAACAAAATAGTAGATATTGACAAAAGCCTTTAATGAAGTGGAAAAATGAAACAATTCGAATACAGATTGTTTATTAAATAAAGAGGCATTAGTTCATTCAGAATTTCAAAGGAATAATTCATGTAACATGTGGGAAATCTGTCAACTTTCATGGTTTAATGGTAGTCAGCTTTCATGGCTGATGGGATAATACCAAAAAAATCTTTTAAACCAAATTTTCCTACATTACATTAACAAGAAATTTTAAAATTATTTGACTATTATTAGCAATTAATCAATTTTTAAGAATATTTCATAAAAAAAAGAATACTTTTGGGATACCTTGCCTCAGCAGCTAGTCTCCGCAATTCAGTCATTCTTTCCTTGGTACGAGCTATATTTACAGATCCAGTTTCTTTGAACCCTGAAAGTAAAGAAATTTTTAAATTTATAATTCATTTTAAATGATTCATAGTGATAATTTTAGTATACAAACCAGTAAATAAAATGCATATAAGAAAATAAAGGCACTTACATGATCTTATACTATACTACTCTCTAAATAATGGAGGAGGATTGGCTAACTTTGGCAGTAATTTGATGTAATTAGTTTTCCTTTATTTTGGATGGAAAATATTTGGCAATAGCTTTGAAGGGTATTTTACCCCAAGCTACAACTTTTTGCCGCCATGTGAACTCTGCTAAGTACGACTTCAAAAGGTGTTTTGTTGAACCCCTATGTTTACTTCGTTCTTAAAACTGCAGCTTATAGGCATTTTTAAAACTTGTTGTTGTTGACTAATGCTCACTTGTCCGACCTATAGGCAACCTAAGCCCACGAAATTGCTTGTGGCAAAGAGCGCAAGATATGCCTGTCATTTGCAACAGCCTTGAGCACCTTACAGGTGACAGTGCGATTTAGCTCGGTTCCGCCCACAATTTTGATGAACAGCACCTTGGGAGGACAGGTCTGAAGGTCTCCCATCCCTCTTCCCCTACTACCAACCTCTTGAGAGGACTTTCCGCTCGCTGCATATTTAGAGTGCCCCCATGCAACATGAACACTATACATTTACAAACATCCATGATTTCTCCGGAATTCGAACACGGGCCCTTCTGCACAGCAATCAGAGATGCTAACCACTATACTAGTTGGCAGCCTTTTTTTTTTTTTTTTTTTTTTTAAACTTAGCGATGTTATACAGTTGTAGTAGTAATTAATTTGTGCTATGATGCCAAAGTTGGTGACTATTTTTTCGCTTCTGGTGAATTTAGGCCTTTTTTTCCATTAATATTCAAGTACCAAAATAACTAATATTCAAGTACCAAAATAACATTAAACAGCATTGGGGAAAAGAAATAGGATGAAGAACTTCAAAAAATTAAAAAATAATAATTTGGCAGATTTTCTGGAACATAACTTGAAAGCTTACATACTGATTGTACCAAACATATAGTAAAGCTACACTATTTTTGGCACTTATGTGATCTACCACTTTTATTTAGTTATTTATTTCACAGATGGCACTAATGAAATGTTATTTTTAAATATGGAAATAAATACAAATGCATAAATGAAAATAATTTCATTAATTAATTTCAAACCAACGGTATTTATCATAACATAGAAAACATTATTAACATATTAAAAGAAAATAATTAAAAATAGACTTAAAAGCAAGAAAATGATGATTAAGAATACAATTTACAGTTAATACAGTAATACAAATTAAAAATAATCATACACATTATACATAGAGTGACCATCTGTCCTGGATTCCAGCTCTGCATCCCGCATGGTTACTTGTCCCGAAATTAACAATTTGTTTAAAGATTCATCAAAATAAATTTAGTTTCTATAGTATTTCCACATAAAGAATGTATTATTTTTGAAGTCTTGCAATGGCAGCATTAGGCATATAATGATACATTACAGGAAGCATATTTTTATGTGTGAGGAGTGATATATCGACCAATGTGCTTTCAGTGAGAGGATAACATTTTCTACCAACCAGTAAAACTGACTCAGCCTACACTGTCCCAACCATGTGGCATTAATAAACCACTGAGCTAAACTAGCCCACCGCTTATTACATAGTCCTACAACTGCACTGGTGGCATTACATACGTTTGTTAAGACATGGTTGGAAATTGATGTCTTAAGAGACCAATTGGGGGAGGGAGGCTAATGGTTCTTTATTCTCTCATGAGGTTTCAGACTACATACTGACTTGCTGAGGTTTCTACAGACTACATACTGACTTGATGAGATTGAGGTTTTAGACTTCATTTACTGACATCAGGCTTCCATGACAACTGACACCAATGACCAACTACATCACCTAAGAACTTCCGATATCACAAATTCAATCCTTTGACTGCTATGAAGACTAACTGCATTGCTCATGGACTCCCAATATCTTCAAACTGCTATAACACATATATCTAGAGAGAGATAGATAGGTAAAATATAAAATATGAAACTAAATTAGAACCAACTGGCAATAAACCTTTAAATTCACAATTTCTAATTAAGCATATCCCCTCTTCAAGGACACATTTTGCACAATTTTACAGTGTGCTAAGTCAATTTTTCCCTGTGACTTTTCTGCACTGAGAAAAACTTTTGTCCAATCACTGTCCAAGTTTAAAACAAAGACATTCCATACTTATAAATACTACTGCAGTTACTGCACATCACATTTTGTTGCTTGCCAAGGAAAGTCATGTCTCTTCTCTGAGCTTATTTTCCTATCATTTAAAATATAAACGGCATATATAGAAATTGTAGGGTATGTTTAATACCCCTAGTGTAGTACCAGTTTAAGCTTAAATGCATTTAAAAATAATTGTTCCCATTCAAAATCAAAATTATGTTTTAATCATCAAATCAGTTGTGATTTTTGCTCTCGTCAGATCTATGCAGCACTTTTCTTGGCCCATGGCTAAAAAGTGAATTGGTTTCATCACCTATGCCATCAACTTATTCTACATTATTATATCTAAGTTTGCTTCCATTACATATATATCATTTACTATATCAAGTGCTATTGTTAAGTATTTTTATAGATTAGAAAAACAAAATGTACTTTCTACTGTCAAAGTATAATAGTTTAAGATTTTAGTATATTTATTAAATTTTCTAAATTTAATTTTTTTCAGAATGCTTCCTATTTGTGGGCAAGAAAAGAAGTTGTAAATTCAATCACAGTATGGCAAAAGAATTTCCTTTTATAAAGTGAACAAAAACAGATTTTAATATTACCTGCATTCAGTAAAATTCAGCATTTTTAATTACTTACCACAGACAATATAATGTTACATGATGCAACAACAAGACCCCAAAACGTAAGAAAGTGAATCAGGCCATACCATCCCCCCAATTTTGGGATAGAATTTCATAAGGACAAACGACAGCTTGCACTGAAGCAATATTTTCATTGCAGACAGTCTCGCTTAATCAGTCATTTAGATGTATGGATTATAAGTCAAAATTAATCAAATTATGATTATGGCAAGGATGCTAAAGGGTGGATATGCAAAGTTCATAATGTTTCAATATTAACCATAGTAAGAAATGTCAAACTTTTTGCTAAATAGTAGATATAAAAACACTATATGAATTATAATCATACATTAAAAATATTTCATTATAGTAAGAGAAAAATTTTAATATCAAATTGAATACGGGTTTCAGTTAACTTTGATTTATAATCCTCCAGTGAAAAAACACAAAAATAAGAAATAAATGTTAAGTTTAAAAAAAGGAAACTAAGCGATAATAGAACATAAAACAAACACAGTAGCTTAAATGTGCCCAATACTATTTTTCCACAGCCACTGTGAACATGAACACTTTTATATATTAATATCTGTAACGCATTTCAAAAAGAAAGCACCTCACTGCTGTATATTTCAACAGGTCTTTATTACATTATGTAACAGTGAGGTATCTCTAATGAATCATTAACAATTGCTTTAAGTCACTTAGTAGAAAAATATTTCTAAATGATTCAGTAATTTCTAATAGAATGTATGCAGTTTTGATGTAAAATAAAATGTTAAATATATTGGTTTATACTCAATGAAGCTTAAAAAATGACTCAAGCATAATTATATCACTAGAGATATCAGAGGGGGAAAAATTACCTAAATAGAGGGGAAAAATTCAAACAGTAAATAGAAAAAAAATTTTAGAATGCTATTCTAATTTTTTTTTTCACATATTATAGCATGAAATATACAAACCAATATCATGTCCAGAATTTTGAAGTTCTTTGTATAATTCAGAACTAAATGTGGTTATTCGGCCTTCTGAGGTAGAATGGAAATGACCCACAATACCGCAACTTCGCCATGAATCCCCACTCCCAATTCTAAAAATAATTTTAAAATTATAAAAAATTACTTTATATTAAAACAGATATAAATAAGCAACTTGCTTAACAAAGGAAATAAACACAGTGATAGCAATACATTAAGCAAAATTTACAAAATTAGCAAACAAAGCAATAAAAAATAATTCATAAAATTAAGAAAACAAATACTGCAAACAGCATAGCAGAAATCTGCCTGTATATTACCAACTAAATCAAACTATTATCTGTATACTTTGTTTAAATTTCTTAATAATGGTTTAGGATGGCAAGTATTTTTTCCATCTGTCTGAGTTTATAGTATTATTTTGGAAAGATTGGCATATTTTCATACAAAGTAACTTCTTAATTCAAAGACTTGCTACTCTCAATCTCCTATATAAGTTCAATTTCTGATAAAGGACATTACAGGAAGACAATGCCCCTACTATGGTGATAGTTTTTTTGTGCCTTACAATTAATCAAAATTCAGTCCAATAAAAAATATGACAATAGAGTCTTCTCAATTATTATCATATTATTTATTTATTCCTGAAATATGTTTAATAAAACTTTTTTGTTATGTAAACATTTAACTGCTCTGAGCGGTCTGAGAGACTGCTGAGGATTTTCTAACCATCTTTTCCACCCCTAAAAACGAAGAATGGTCCCTGTCCTTCCTCCTACCTTCCCAAACCTGTCCTACAAGGTCACATATCCAGTTTCATACTTCTAGCTTTATTATGGTTTCAGTTATCACGTTTTTTACTTTTTAAGATGTCTGGGAGACCGCTCACAGCAGATGCATATCAGTTTTAGTGGACGATAGACATTATTTATTGGATGCTTGTTTTTTGTAAAAGGGATAAACACGGCTTCAAATTTTACAAGAAAACGTCCCGTATATCTCACTCAAAAAGAAATTGGATATCTTGTCAACAATATTTTTTATGTAGAATACTCTGATTCTGAAGAATCATGTAGAATCCACAGCGAAAGCAAAAGTTTCTGCAGATGAATATCATAATTTTTCTAATGACTGTGAACAAAATGATAATTTTTATGGGAAAAAAAAAAAAAAAAACACTTCAAATGGAGTGAAAAAAGAACCAAGTCGGGCGGTACGAACACCAAAACATAACATAATAGTTCTGAAAGCTTCCTGGTCTGAAACACTCTGCAAAAATACGCTCTAGAGCAGAGCCCGAAGATACTTGGAATTTATGTTCATACATATTGTTCAAGTCATATTCTGATGCTACAAAACTGAAAAGAAAACAATTTATGCTTTTATTAGCTAATCAACTTATTAAACCATATCTGAAAGATGGGATAACTTCCGCCTTTTTTGCCAAGGGAACTGAAGATAACAATTAAAATAATCCTTTGACAGAAGGAAATTAAGAGAATGGATTTATCAAATCAAGAAGAAAAATTAGAAGAAAGAAATACATGTAGTCCATGTCCACCTTGTAAGAAGAAAAAAACAGCAAAAAAATGCTTGGAATGCAAGGAACCAGTGTGTCTACAGTGCTCTCAAAAAATATGTTTTGATTGTATGTCATCTTATGATCCATCCTTGTGAACAAAGCTATACTAATCTATTATTTATTAATAATTAAATTCACTGTTGTAGAATTATGGTTTAATTGACAGTAATACTTAATAAAGTCACATATTTTCATGCATGTTTAATAAAATCTTTGTTCTTTAAAAACACTGTTCCTTAAAACAAAGAAAATAGTCATATTTTTATACGAATTTAACTGCGCAAAATCAAATGATTCATGTTTAAAATATATTGATTTAAATGAATTAGAATTCCATAAATATGTATAATATTAATCTATAACATTCCTTAAAAGGGCATAAAAGTATGCATTTTTACGCATTTCTTTAAAACGGTCTGTGAGGCCGCTCATAGTAATTATGCCGGAAAAAATTGTCATAGCAGTTAAAGGTTAAATAATATGTAGAATGCCAATCATTCAAACTTCGATCGTGAATTACCAACAGATCACCACAGCATAAATTCGTTTAGATAATATTAAAAACAAATGTAATAAATATAAATCATAATTTATGAGACATGTGACAAATAATGCAACAGTAATAAATTGATTTAAAATTGAAACTATTCCACTCTACTACGAATTATTCAGAATTCAGAAACTTCTGTTTCATAGAAAATTCATCAGAATTAGAAGTCATAAGTGGCTTTGTCTCAGATGTTATGTGTATATTGCAGATATCTGGTCTCCAAATAACTTTCTTAATAAAGTTAGGAAAAAAAAAAACACAAAAAAACATAAAAGCAGTACCTTTAGTGCAGGTAGTAATCACCACCCAAATCTATGATTTTCTGCCAATGTTTAGGTAGTTTTTCCGTTTTTGGGCCAGAAACTTGGTGGCCAAAAACAGATCAACCTCATTTCAGACATCCTGTGCAGAATGGAAGATTGCACCAGCAAGATGTAGCTGCAGATGTAAAAAATGGTAGTAGAAGTCCCAAGGAGTGAATTAAGGGCTTTATGGTGGGTGTGGCAAAAGATCCCATTCGAGTCCATACAGAGTCCCACAGATGAATGTGATATTGCATTATCTTGATGGAACATTACTTTTTTGTGGCAGAACTCAGTTTGACGTTTTTCTTTGATAGCATCAATACGGACTAGCACCTCACTGTACACTTACTGCCAATGGTTTTACCATTTTCCAGATACTCTTTGTGGATAATACTATCATCTAGCATAATCTTTTTGTTACTCAAATTACACTTTGTGAAGCTGTCGAAGGGCTCACTGTGGGTAGACTAATCCCCTTTTCAGCATCTGTTGCTGAAGTAAATCCACTTTTCATCACAAGTGATGATCTGGTCTAGAATTTTGTCCTTGCATCGATATTCGAGCAGATTAGACAAGCCTAAACACATCTGTCCTTATTCGTACAAAGTGCCATTGAATCCGTCCATAGGAAAGTGCCGCTGAATGCAGACAAATGCCGTCTTGCATTATCTTGATGGAACATTACCTTTTGGTTTTGGAACTGAGTTGGATGTATTTCCTTGATAGAAGCGTCAACATGAATTAGCATCTCACTATATACCTTACTGTTGAGGGTCTCACCTTTTTTCAGATCTCTTTGTGGATAATACCATGGCAATCCCACCAGATACAAAGCATGATCTTTTCGTTAGTCAAATTGCGTTTTGCGACACTGCCGACCGGCTCACCAGGAGCAGACCAAACTCCGGCTAATCTTTGGAATATGATAACAAGTAGTTTGTCGACATTTTGGTAAGGCAATAAAGGTTACTAGCTAGGACTTTAGCAGTATACATGGATAAAGTCAAGAGTGCAATGTCATTTTTGTGCAATTCTGGGATGTTTTTTTAAGGTGCAATTCTTAAAAACGCGGGAAGCAGTGGGCGATTCTGTACTTTCTCCCAATTTCGCACCTGATCTTCATCATGATTAAACACTTTTGTTCCATAAAAGTTCTAGTATAAGTGCAATTTGGCTAGCAGATTGTTGGGAAAAAAATGTTGAGTAAAACAAACAAACAAAGAAAGAAACATGCCTTTACTCCGTGAAAAACAAAATGGCGTAAAAAAAAAAAAAAAAAAAACTAGCGGGTTGCTGTAGCAGGGTTGGTCGCCAAAAAATCGTTAAGTTACCATAATCCGACGATTAACCCAAACTCCTTTTTCGGCCTGTGCTGTTGAAGTTCAACAAAACAGGCCATACTGTACTGCTGTGCATTTGATACTTTCCATCACAAGTGACGTTCCGGTTCAGAATTTTGAGCTTGCATTGATATTTGAGCAGATTAGTGCAGTCCCGAACACGTCAGTCCTTAACTGCTTGAGTCAGCTCATGCGGCACCTGCGACTGAACTTGTACGTCAAGTTTATGTGATGCATAGCGCAACTAATGGATATGGCACTAATGTCTGACTCCTTAGAAAGCTGTCGAATAGTTGCATACTGATCTTCTTCCACAAGTTCTCACAGGCAGGCCTCGTTAACATCAATAGGCCAGTCAGAAGTTTCTGCTTATTTAATGCCATATTCCTTGTTTTCAAACTTTTGGTACCAAACTTCACAGTGTCATATGATACAACATGAGTACCTTAAGCTGTACACATGATTTGGTGGCATTCTGTAACTGACTTTATGCAACAGAACTGGAAGTAAATGATGGTTCTAAATCAGGTAGTGTGATAGTCCCATTTCAGACGCCTTATACTTAATGATAATGATATTTTTTTCAAATTTTGCAACACAGTGTTCTAAAGCAAGTACCTTTCTTTCAAATGCCAAAAATCATTTGACAAAATATGATTAAACACACAAATGCAAACTGTTTGCAGAGATGATACTTGTGGTGGTGGAAAACTTTTGTTAAAAACCAATACAGTCAAAAGTCGTTAATCCGGACTCGTCGGGACTTCGGCGATTCCGGATTATAGATCATCAGTTTAAATCTGGTAAGATGGCATGCAAAAATTACAAAATTAAAAATATGAAACCGTAATTTATGAAATAAAGAACAATTATGATCTAAAGGGTATCAAAATTTACAAAAAGAAAAAACTTAATATTTATTTGTTACTTTATTAAACATTTCCTTCAATGTAAGTTGCTTCGTTTCATGTGATAATACTTTCTCTTTAATTCTATTAAACAGACATAATTTCTTGTTTAGTTACAAAGTTCCGCTGTTCAAGTACTATAATTGCTGTGTTGAGAATACCGACTAATTTGTCAATCGAAATGTTTTCGTTTTCAATAACCTCTGGGTCACTTTCTTCACTATCCGAAGCGAATTATAATGACGAGGAACTTGATTTAAATCATATCAAAGATGGAGTACATCGAGATGAAATACTAAACTTAGTACCGAATTATAATCCAAATAAAATAAAAACATCTGCTCTGAAGATAAGGATAGTGTTGACAGATCAACTTCCAATCCGCCACGTGAAATTGATAAACAGATTTCGGATTTCAAAACATACTTTCGCTTTGTAGATACAAATTACATATTAGTAAATATATATTGGAAATTCTATTTGACATAATCTTTCTAATCTATCATAATCTAATAATGACGTTTCTGCTTGGCCCCCCCTCCCTCTGCCGCAGAGCAGTGTGAAATTGATAAACAGATTTCGGATTTCAAAACATACTTTCGCTTTGTAGTAAATATATATCGGAAATTCTATTTGACATAATCGAAAGTTCAAGCTTACTTTTATAAAATTGCTCTAAAGCCTGCAAAAAATAATAAGTCGGATCCAATTCGAAGATTAAGGAACAACGCAATCTGCAACATTAACTGAATTAGATAACTTTAGCTTAGCGTATAACTCCGTTACACATTAAACGCACATGCGCACAAACATATTCGCAGCCGTAAGGGTCTTACGCGCTCTCGTAAACGCCTGTGCACATGCGTGAACGCGACGCATGCGCAGAAAGTTTGTAGCTTTGAGGTCCGGATTATAGATCATTCCGGATTATGGGTGTCCGAATTAACGACTTTTGACTGTATTATGAGGATATGAAGAATGTCACTTAAACTGCAGAAAGTTTTAATTTTTACTTCAATAGAAAGTTTCATTTTTAATATCTTCAATGCGTTCATTATTAGAATATAATACATAAAAAACTAATAAATTAGTTAAACATAGTCCAATTTATTTTCTAAAGTTATAAAAATGCTTTAAATAGGTAGAAAAGATATCAAATTACTTAAAATTTTAGACTATTGCACATGTTTATAGAGTTCGATAGTAATCATCAATTCATAATAATATGATAATAGAATACTGCTATTTAAGCAGCATTGTTATGTAGAACATTTTTTGCAAAGAAATTGTAAGAAAACTTCAAGCAGATGCGCTTAATTTCAAGAACTAAGAAGGATGTGGTTACTATGGGAGACAGGATCCCTACACTGCAGAAAGAAGGAATTAGAAGTGTTTTGGGGCAAAGGGGTACGAGGGGAAGAAAGAACCAGGAAAGGAAGGTTGAAGGGAAATCTGCCACAGGCTATTAGTAATGGGGGAAGCAATTTTGGGAGAAAACAGTAAGGCTATGGAAAATTTTAATGCAAATGTACAGGAGTGAAAACAAAGAAGACTTCAACACTGCTGGCGCCTGAATGTCTGCTATACGAAAACTTTCTCCTCTACCGTAGTTGCCTAGCAATGAATCTTGTAATGCACATGCGTGAATATAGTTTGTTTTTTGTAATTCTTTTTATTAGCTTGTTTGATGAAAATATTGTTGCTTGGATTTTTGAATGGCTGCTAATTGAGCAGTTAATTTTTGAATAAAATAAAAGATGGATTTAAAAGAAAATTAGTTTTGTTATTTCGTAGCTACAGTCCATAACAAACACTATTCGAACCTTGCAAATAAAATTGTAGCTGTTGAGCAGAATGTGACAGGGATAAAAATGTCCTCCAAAGTACAAATTGTAAATTGAGCACAAAAGTAAGAATTTATGTGTAAGTGACAATTTTTATCGCGTTTTTAATTACATCCTTCCAAAAAGTTCCACTTATAGTACTTTCAGGAATGAAAAATTTACCAGCTCTCATAAATTCATTCCAGGAAAAAAAAGGCCTTTGACATGTAGGTGGGGATTTTTCTGTTTTCTCAACTTGATCATCAAAGGACGTGACAGGCATATATTCAGAAGTTAAAACCAGTTTTCGAGACAGCCTTACTATCAAAATAAAGTTTTCAAGATCCAAACAATTTTCTGCTGAAACAGTGTTTTAGTTCCACAAACAAACGTGCGCTCCAGCTAGAATTAGGGGTTGATCTTTACAATATGGTAACTGGTAGTTTGGCGACATTTTGGAGGCGATAAAGGTTACTACCTGGGACTTTGGTAATAATGTGACCAGTACTCAGTTCCAATTACGCATTATTTTGTGTGAGGGAAACGAGAGATCATGGGATATGTCATGTGATATTAATGACGAATACGGTTCTTTAATCGGAAAAGGGGGGAAATCGGGAAAAAATCTGGAAATTTTGTATTTGGCTTTATTCTGTGTTGTGTGAAACAAGTGTTCGTGAATTTTGGATCCCATGGCCGTAACTAAAGTGAATTCGAAATGGGTATTTATGTATGTATTAATTTAATGTATGTGCTCATTTATATTTTAAGTAAGTGTTTTTCAATTTAATTATATTTTAATTAAATGATAGTTTTTTGTGAATTTTATGTTTGTAGGAATTTGGTATACGTTTTAGTTGAAGTAAACGTGCATGGAAATAATTTAAATATCTGACACTAAGTATTTGTATGGTTGGTGCGTATGAATTTGTTGGTGACGTTTATAATATAATAGATGATTTAGAGGTAAAGTTTTTGGATATTTTATTTTTTTATATGTGGAAATGTTGATATTTGGAAAGGGTAAATACATTTTCGCGATCAGGTAATTTCATATATGTTCTTTTACCGGGTTTTAAACATTGAGAAAATTGTCATGTATTTTCGTGAAATTTTTCTAATTTATGAGAAAAAAAGCAGTGTACATGGATATAGTGAAGAGTGTGCGCAATGCCATTTTGTGCAATTCTGGGATGTTTTTTTAAAGAAAAAATAAGTCGGCGTGTACATGGTTATGTGTATGTGTTATTTTGAAAAACGCGTAAGGAGTATGGTATTGTGCACTTTTTCCCAATTTTGCAGTGAATATTTGTCATGATTAAGCAGTTTTGTTAGATAAAATTTCTAGCATAAGTGTAATTCGGCTAGTAGATTGTTGGAAGAAGTGTTCAGTAGATAAAAAGAAAATAAACATGTCTTTACTTCGTGAAGACAAAATGGCGGCGGGAAAAAAAATAGAGGGTTGCTGTAGGAGAGTTGGTCGCCAAATTTTCACCAAGTTACCATAATGTAAAGATCAACTGCAATTTTATCATCAAAAATCACTGCTACATAAAGACAAAATAACAAGAACTGCACAAACTCGGTATCCATGTACACACTGACTTATTTTCACATTGTGCACTCCCTTGACTTTATTCATGTACATGTAGACCTATTTTCACTTTAAAAAACATCAGAGAATTGCACACTTCCTTGACTTGGCAATAAATGAAATAGCTTCGTGATAATACAAGGGGTACCCCTCAGTCTACTCTAACTGTTAGCTGAAACCACCAAACGAACCTATACAAGTTAGTCTTTCTGTCTAAGAGGAAGACGATTTTGTAGAGAACAATTTAGAGGAAACACGTTAATATTTATAGATTACAGAAACAGATGCAGAAATTGAGTGCCAAAAGCTAATCTTTCCATTCCCACATAGTTTCACAGTATTTTTTCAGTTATACACATAAAATTCAAACATTGTGCATTTTTTTAGCTTTTGAGGGCGTAATATTCCTCAGAAAATGTCTCCATTCCTTCAAGTGTAAATGATGTCATGCGTTACCAGCAGACATCCATCTATGTTTTGAATACGAACGTCTGTACCCAGGGCCGACAGCAGAACTTGTGCAGCTGCAGTAATTAGGGGAGGCAAAATGTATAGATTTTAGGGAAGCATTAAGCGGCAGAATTTAGGAATTCCACTTGGTGGCAAAATGTCAAGCGCTGACCCTGTCTGTACCAGATATCATATCAATAACTCCCTGTAATGCAATGTGATATGATAATGTGCTTTTACAAACAGTTGAAGAGATGCATGCATCATTTTTATTTTCAAGATAACAGTCTATTGATGCATATAAAACATTGGCTAATCTTTGGAATATGGTAACAGGTAGTTTGTCGACATTTTGGTAAGGCAATAAAGGTTAATAGCTAGGACTTTAGCAGTGTACATGGATAAAGTCAAGAGTGTGCACAATGCCATTTTTGTGCAATTCTGGGATGTTTTTTTAAGTAAAAATAGGTCGACGTGTACATGGATACCGTGTATGTGCAATTCTTAAAAACGCGGGAAGCAGTGGGCGATTCTGTACTTTCTCCCAATTTCGCTCCTGATCTTCATCATGATTAAGGACTTTTGTTCCATAAAAGTTCTAGCATAAGCGTAATTGGGCTAGCAGATTGTTCAAAAAAAAATGTTGAGTTAAAAAAAAAAAAAAGCCTTTACTTCGTAAAAACAAAATAGTGTCAAAAAAAAAAAAAAAAAAAAAAAAAAAAAAACTAGCAGGTTGCTGTAGCAGGGTTGGTCACCAAATTTTTGCCAAGTTACCATAATCCGAAGATTAACTAAAACATTATTGGTGGTTTTGAAACAAAAACATCTTGACACACATGGCATCTTTGGCATGGTTTTTTTGGCACTTGTGTATCATTTCATCGAATGTGAAAATTTGCGGAGTTCCCACATTCATCACATCAATCTTTTTTTTTCAAAATGCAAGGAAAAAATACAGTAGTAAAAATTTACTTTATATCCTTATTCATAAAAATATAGCCTAGCTTTTCAAGAATCACTCAGAGTTACATCAAACAAAAGCAAGGATATCCTAAGTATGATGTTAGGTCATACTTATCCGTAACTGGCCCTAAATTGTAGTGTTTGGTGATAGTGTCACAGTAGATTGGATAATACATGTTTTTCTAGTCATGAAAGTGGTTAAGACGTATCAAAAACCCATTATGTAAAACATGTCTGCTGACCATCCCCCCTTTTTTTTTATTTGCCCACAGGTGAGATTACCACAGCTAATTTCTATATTATAAATATTATTACGAACACATAAAATATGTCTGTACAAATGTAATACTTACTTGCTCTGCTCTAACACTATTATGTCATTCCATTCATTCTTATTCATATGATAAGCGACAGAATTTCCGACCGCACCGGCACCACATATTATAACTTGTGACGACTGAGGCACAAAATTGGTAGCAAAGCGCTCGTTCACTTTAATAAACTTATTTTGAGGCCAGATTTCCTTAAAAATATAACGGGGTATGCTTCTTTTAGCTTGCTCAATCAATATAGCGGCCATAGTCTGCGATTTTTTACAAATGGTTAGAATGCAAAATGTAATTCAAATTCAACCTTCAGGTGACAAAACTTGCCAAAAATATGGATATGATCAGTTTCTACAAAAAGCACAACACATTTTCCTTTCCATGCGATTAAATCTTACATGACAATGATAATACATTTAATTTATAAGTACACAATTCTAAAATAAAGTGCGATGTTTAAATGTTTAACACGAAAACACAGCATTCCTGTTTAAATTTTGGTATCGCAGTTACATTGTTTACATTTTAAAGGGCACTTCATTCCCTCCTTACAGCAAAGTGTAGGAATATGGTATATGCGAGAACTACATTATTAAAGGCAAATAATTTTTTTAACATCTTAATATAACTTATAACAAATTTATTAGAAGAGGTTTAATAGATGAAACTAAGCTTTCAAATATAATTTCCTAACATAAGCAAGTAAAATGATATTATTTGTTAAGCCGGTTGTTTCAGAACCGTAACTGATACGGCACGTGCAGAAAGACTTAACGGGTGCAAAACAAAAGTCTGTCTACTTTGTCTGTTTAATTGTGCAATATTTACTTCAGTTTTTCTTCTGCTGTCGGACATCTGTGCTTATTTCTTTTTAAATATACCTACTTTGATTACATTATACAATTTAATATTAAAATGGAGGAATCTCCCCGATATACATCAGATTCTTATATCCCTTTTCCTAGTGATGGGAACCTAAAAAAGAGTAATTCAAAAAATTATCATCGTGGAAGAGGTGGTAAGAATTTAATGCAAACGAGTTCTTCAGAAAATTTCACTGCAATTCCATGGAAGAAATTAGCTCAATATTCTTGTGGTGTAGTGGGGTAAGTCTCGATCGATCTTTCAACCCATATAATTTATTTTGAGCGTGCTAATTACATGTTAAGTAATGTCCTCTTTCATGCAGATCATGCATTTTCTTGATCAAATGTCAATATCAGTGATTCTTCTACTGGATTACGTTAATGTGAAAAGTGACCATTGCCGTCTCCAAAAGTAGGTGATATAGGTAATCACTTCTGGACTTATATTATGACTTGGTATCACTCAATGGTTTTCACCAGTAAAGTGAAGAATCGCCCTATTATTTGTTTGGCGCTTTTTATAAGAGTAAGAAGAATTGGGTTTCATCCTAATATCCGGTACACATGGGATTTGGCTACTTTATGATGAGCAGTGAAAACAAGACATATATGACGAGTAGTAAACAGGTCATTTAAAGAATATATATAGTTATACATAGTATATAGTATGTATGTAGTGATAGTATATACATAGACGTTCTTTGGGTTATTTTTGGTGTTGGTGATAATTTTCAAAATCGCGTTAAGGCTACACTGTATACTAGGATTTTACCAAGAACTGGATTTTTGTCAATTTTCTTTGACTTTTTAAGTGAAAATAGGTCGATGTGTACATGGATAAAGTCAAGGGAGTGTGCAATTCTGGGATGTTTTTTTAAGTGAAAATAGGTCGATGTGTACATGGATACCTAGTATGTGCAATTCTTAAAAACCCGCCAAACAGTGGGTAATTCTGCGCTTTCCCCGTTTTCACAAGCAGCTACTTAATAAAGTATTTTGCATTGAATTATTAATATCTTTAGTTCACAGGGAACGCCAATTGTACTGATCGCTTAAGGCATTGTACACTGACTACCAATAAGTATTTGGACATCTATGCAAATGACGATATCTGTGGTCTTAAGGTACGTCCCGGACTCCGCCGGTATATATCGTGTAGGAAGTAGCATTGGCTTTAGTAGCATGCAAGATGCCTCGCAGTTCGGAGCTCTTTGATTTTGAGGAAGGTATAATTATCGGGTATCACAAATGGGGCCGATCCTTAAGAGACATATCTAGCAATCTGAAGTACCCAAAATCTACAGTGGCCTATGTGATTAAGAAGTGGAAGGTGAGCGGTGATTGTCAGAATGTTCCCTGAGTCGGCAGACCAACGAAACTGGGAGATAGAGACCGATGAGTGCTGTCCAGAAAATTCGGAAGAACCGCACCCAACCAATGGCCCTCATCCGCGAGGAGTTTCAACAGGCATCCGGGAGTATTGTTTCAATGAATACCATCCGTAAGGCAGCACATCTGCTTGGTTTTCATGGTCGTGCTGCTGCTCATAAGCCTATGATCACAAAGTCCAACCGCGCTGCTCGGTTAATGTGGTACAAAGCATATCAAAATTACCATTCGGATGGCAGGGGTCTGGGTCTGGCGTCTACCTGGATAACGTCTCCTGCCAGAATGCATTGTGCCAACAGTCAAGTTCGGCGGAGGTGGAATTATGGTCTGGGGATGTTTCTCCTGGTATGAGCTGGGACCCTTGGTTCCCATTCATGGTAAGCTCAACTCCGATGACTACTGCACTGTTTTGGATGACAATGTGCTTCCTACGTTGTGGTAGTTTTACGGGTTGGACCCTTGTTACTTTCAGGACGACAATGCCAGTTGTCACGTTTCGACGTTAACCAAGGCTTGGTATGGTGCCAATGGAGTTCATCGAATGGACTGGCCTGCCCAGAGTCCAGACCTGAACCCTATCAAGAACCTCTGGGACGAGTTGTATTGCCAAATTCAGGGGTGCACTACCCGTGCAAAATCGGTGAAGGAACTTCTATGTCTTCTCCAAGCCGAGTGGAAGAAAATACCACTAGCTGTCATACAAAGACTTGTGGAAAGTATGCCCCTAAGGGTCCACGCTATAATTACCTCTCGTGGAGGCTCTACCAACTATTGATTTTGAATAAAGTTAGTTTCTCTTTTCTATTACAGGTGTCCAAATACTTATTGGTAGTCAGTGTATATGCTGGAGTGTAAATGACCTGCAAAATTTAAATTATAATTAGTGTTTTTTTTAAACTTCTTTTAATTCAAATCCTGATTTAAATGATAAATTCTAATCTGATGATTTAAGTTACTGTCACTCGTATTTGTATTACTTAAAATAGCAAGTTATCTTTTGACATTTTTTTTTCCTTAGTTCTACTTCCACTTTGAGTTACAGTGCAACTAGACTGTTTTGGTCTTTCATGATGGGCTGGGTTTTTATAAAATTGGAGATGAGCTTTTTAAGACATCTTTTAGGACAATGATGTTATTTTTGTTAATATTAGGCATATAAAAGACTTGTATTCTCTTTTGAACTTTTTTTTCTTTTTTTTTTACCTTTAATCCTATGCAAGTAGTATAAAAAAAAGGGGGAGGAATTTAAACATGTTTTTAAGTACAAGTATTATTTTGAAACCACAGAATCACTTCCCTGTTCATGATCCTGATAGCTCAGTATTACTTTAGCTTAAATCCATGAGTATTGAAGAGAAAAAACAACTTATAAAAAATTTAAGCCTTTTTCATTATGTGAATCTTATCCAGAATAATGTCAGTGTCATTGGCAGGCCTCTAACAAATTTCTTTTTAGAATGATAAAGCCTTGTTTATTGAATAAAAGTTTGGTACTTTTATAAGGTATTTCTCCCGCCTTATTCGTGGTGTAGTGGTCAGCACGCTTGACCAGTATTTGAGAGGTTCGAGTCCTGTCGAGGACATTGCTCATTTTTCGCGTTTCCTGCTTCGAAATAAATGTCTATACTATTGTCTGTACGGTGGCACTCGAACTAAAATAGATGGTGGATGGTTATTCTGCTAAATCGAGGAGTAGCACCTGCTTTCATCTTTTGAATTTGCACTTTTTGCATTACCGTCAATGCAACGTATTTACGTTTTTCAACGTTGCAAGCAGTAAAATCATGAGTGCATTTTTTATCTGTCATTGTATTAAAAAGGGCTGAAATTAAAAAATATTCTTAATTTATCCACAAAATACCCGGATAAAAAAATGGCAGCACTAAATAATCTCGTGAAATAAAAAAGCTCAGAAAATAGAACAACGTGAAGCGTGAACTTGAACAAAGAGTGAATCGTCTTCTTTTTTACCTCTGTGCAGATTAGAGGGGAGAAAAACTTATCTTATTTATTTTATTATATTTTTTAAAACTTTTTTATATCAATAATTTGGTATTTCCGTTTTGACTCGTTATTATTCGGTAATTATGACAACATTATTCGGTAAGTATTTTTTTCTTCGATATTTCGTACTCAATGTTGCGGTTTCCAGAACCTATAAACTAAATGTTTATATTCTGAGAGGCAACGCGGATTTCAGGATTTGACAGATTTAAGGTCGGCGGATTTTCGGTATTTGACTGTATTTACATTAGTAGGGAGGAAACTACATGAAGTTTTGTGAGTTGGGCTTGCAACCTGTGCAGCTGCATTGAACGGTAGAATATAGGGATGTTTAAAATTTTAAAATTTACACAAGTACAAAGATAAAAAATTTAGGGATTTCAAAATTTGGTTAGAGTAGAGAGAAGGATACACCTTGTATTATCGCATTGTTGTTGTTTCATTTATGTTAGCCTAATAGTTGAATGTTATGGGAACTCTATTATGATGTAATTGGTTGCATGATTGCAGTAAATTCGTAAGGGCTTGTGGTGTGTGTGTGTGTGCTGGTTAGGAAGTATATTGCTTGTTTTGTAGTTTAGATGGTAAAATGGCTGAATGTGGTAAGATTAATTTGAAGTTTATGTATGATTTGGAAAGAAATGAGGAAAGAACATTACTTGACTGGTATGTAAATGAAGGTTTACTTAGTAGCCATTATTAGGTGTCCTGTTTGTAGGAAGGAAATGTGTACGGTTGAACCTCGCTATGGAGGATATTTTTTATTCTTATTTTGTGAATTTATGTGGCGACACCAGCATACAGATTCTAGTTCAGATAATTTTAGGAAGGTTTTGGATGCTATTAAGGAATTCTCTCTGAATGAAGATGTGCTAATTTGTAAATAATGTAAGTGGATATTTCCTTTGTGTAGTGCAAAGATGAATTTTTTTATGTTATTTCATTGCTTGATTTAAACTGTAGTTTATTGAGATTATATATTTTTTTGTTGGCTGCTCCTTTGACTTTTTAAGTGAACTTAGTTCAATGTGTACATGAACAAAGTCAAGGGAGTGTGCAGTACCTAGTTTGTGCAATTCTCCGATTCTCAATGCCATCAGAAATATATGTAATAGTTAAATAAATATGTAATAACGAAAATGCCACAGAATATTCATATGCTAAAACTAGATTATAACATTAATTTAAGGAAAGTGAAAATATATGCATTAAACGTTTGATTACTGGTATTGAGTTTGGCAACCTGAAAGCAAGCCAAGTTTTGCAGAAACTGAGATCAATTGCTATTATGGATTGCATTAAACATTTAATTATTGGTATTGAGCTTGCTGACATGAAATCAAGCCAGCTTTTGCAGAAACTGAGATCAGTTGCTACTATGGATGTATCTGAAAATTTAATCAAAAGGGTTTGGCTTGAAAAGCTACCTGAATAAAAAATGCATTATTAGTTAGTGATGCAGATGTAACTAAGTTAGCATCTGTGTCAGATAAAATTAGTGATATGAATCAGAAACTAGAAATATTTAGTACTGATGCATCTTCCGTTTCCGTAAATTATTTTTTGAAAAATATTGCTTCTCGTGAACAAAAAATTGATCAAATAACCATTTGATCAAGATGCAGATATTCGGATTCATGTAATTTCTGTTCGCGATCTTGTAAACGATATGATCGAAATGGGAAATTTTGTTTCTCTCACTTTCAATTTGGGTCAAAATGAAACCCAAGCACATGGGGACTTGGCTAGAGAAAGCCAAGTCCCCATGTGCTTGGGTAAACAACCATTCCCCAAACCAGGAAAACTCAAATCTACAGTAGGTTTGGTGGCTAAGTTTTCTAGAAGAA